TGCTTACGACGAATAAAAAAACATCATCAGAATTGAGACAGGGCGGGTGAGCGGGGCTTATATTTTGCCTTTTTCCTTGATATACGTAGTTGGCTCTTCAGAACAAGAAACTTAAAACATGTTTAAAATGGTAAATTTGTGTAGGGAAATATTGATTTTGCAATTACGCTCCGCTCCTCGGTCTGACAACGCATGAAAAATTCATCACGATTGAGATCGAGACGGATAGGTGGGGCTTTTTTGGGGTTACCATTTTTAATTAATACAGTCATTTAGTTTTCTTTGTATAACACGATAACTTAAGAACATATTTCATATGGTAACTTCTCGTGAAAAAATAAGGATTTAACAATTAAGCTGCGCCCCTCGGCTTACGAGGAATAAAAAAAAATCATCAGAATTGAGATAGGGCGGGTGGGCGGGGCTTATATTTTGCATTTTTTTTTCTTAACATACATAGCCATCTTTTCACAACAAGAAATTTAAAATATGGTTAAAATAGTACATATTTTAAATTTCATGTTGTGAAAATAAGTCTACACATAATAAAACAAAATGGCAAAATGTATGCCCGCCCACCCGCCCTATCTCAATTGTGATGATTTTTTATTCGCCGTAAACCAAGAGGGCTTAAGTTAACTACAAAATACTTATTTCTTTACAAGAAATTAAAAACATGTTTTTGAGTATCGTGTTGTTCAAAGAATACTATGTGTATTACAAAAAAAAGGCAAAAGATAAACCCTGCCCACCCACCCTTTCTTAATTCTGATGATTTTTTTTCTTAGAGAATTAAAACACGTTTAAAATGGTACATTTTTGTAATTTCTTATAATCTCAAAAAGGATTTTGCAATTAGGCTCCGCCCCTAGGTCTGTCAACGAATGAAAACTTCATTACTATTTAGATCAGGGCAGGCATGGGTGGGGCTTAATCTTTGGCTTTAATTTTTTCTTAACATATATAGTATTCTTTGAATAAGACGATACTCAAAACATGTTTTTAATTTCTCATAGACAAATAAGGATTTTGCAGTTAAGCTCCGCCCTCTTGGCTCACGACAAGTAAAAAGGAATCATCACAATTGAGATAGGGTGGGTGGGCGGGGCTTATATTTTGTCCTTGTTTTCTTAACATACGTAGCCATCTTTTCACAACAAGAAATTTAAAATATGGTTAAAATGGTACATTTTTGCAAGGAAGTATGGATTTTGAAATTATGGGGCGGAGTCTAATTACAAAATCAATATTTCCTTATATAAATTTTCCATTTTAGACATGTTTTAAATTTCATGTTGTGAAAATAATTCTACACATATTAAAACAAAAAGGCAAAATGTATGCCCGCCCACCCGCCCTATCACAATTGTGATGATCTTTTTATTCGCCGTGAACCAAGAGGGCTTAAGTTAACTACAAAATACTTATTTCTTCACGAGAAATTAAAAACATGTTTTTGAGTATCGTGTTGTACAAAGAATACTACGTATATTACAAAAAAAAGCAAAATATTATAACCGCCCACCCACCCCTTCATAATTCTGATGATTTTTTTTCTTAGAACCTCAAAACACGTTTAAAATGGTACTTTTTGTAATTTCTTATAATCCTACGATGGATTTTGACATTAAGCTCCGCCCCTGGGTCTGCCAAAGAATGAAAACTTCATTACTATTTAGATCAGGGCAGGCATGGATGGGGCTTAATCTTTGGCTTTAATTTTTTCTTAACATATATAGTATTCTTTGAATAAGACGATACTCAAAAACATGTTTTTAATTTCTCATAGAGAAATAAGGATTTTGCAGTTAAGCTCCGCCCTCTTCGCTCACGACAAGTAAAAAAGAATCATCACAATTGAGATAGGGTGGGTGGGCGGGGTTTAATTTGTCCTTTTTCTTAACATACGTAGCCATCTTTTCACAACAAGAAATTTAAAATATGGTTAAAATGGTACACTTTTGCATGGAAGTATGGATTTTGAAATTATGGGGCGAAGTCTAATTACAAAATCAATATTTCCTTATACAAATTTTCCATTTTAGAAATGTTTTAAAATCATGTTGTGAAAATAAGCCTACACACATTAAAACAAAAAGGCAAAATGTATGCCCGCCCACCCGCCCTATCTCAATTGTGACGATCTTTTTATTCGCCGTGAACCAAGAGGGCTTAAGTTAACTACAAAATGTTTATTTCTTTACAAGAAATTAAAAACATGTTTTTGAGTATCGTGTTGTTCAAAGAATACTATGTATATTACAAAAAAAAGGCAAAATATAAAACCCGTCCACCCACCCTTTCTTAATTCTGATGATTTTTTTTCTTAGAAAATTAAAACACGTTTAAAATGGTACATTTTTGTAATTTCTTATAATTTTACAATGGATTTTGCAATTAGGCTCCGCCCCTAGGTCTGCCAACGAATGAAAATTTCATTACTATTTAGATCAGGGCAGGCATGGGTGGGGCTTAATCTTTGGCTTTAATTTTTTCTTAACATATATAGTATTCTTTGAATAAGACGATACTCCAAAACAAGTTTTTAATTTTTCATAGAGAAATAAGGATTTTGCAGTTAAGCTCCGCCCTCTTGGCTCACGACAACTAAAAAAGAATCATCACAGTTGAGATAGGGTGGGTGGGCGGGGTTTAATTTGTCCTTTTTTTCTTAACATACGTAGCCCTCTTTTCACAACAAGAAATTTAAAATATGGTTAAAATGGTACATTTTTGCAAGGAAGTATGGATTTTGAAATAATGGGGCGGAATCTAATCACAAAATCAATATTTCCTTATACAAATTTTCCATTTTAGAAATGTTTTAAATTTCATATTGTGAAAATAAGTCTACACATATTAAAACAAAAAGGCAAAATGTATGCCCGCCCACCCGCCCTATCTCAATTGTGATGATCTTTTTATTCGCCGTGAACCAAGAGGGCTTAAGTTAACTACAAAATATTTATTTCTTTACAAGAAATTAAAAACATGTTTTTGAGTATCGTGTTGTTCAAAGAATACTACGTGTATTACAAAAAAAAGGCAAAATATATATAAACACCGCCCACCCACCCTTTCTTAATTCTGATGATTTTTTTTTCTTAGAAAATTAAAACACGTTTAAAATGGTACATTTCTGTAATTTCTTATAATCTCAAAATGGATTTTGCAATTAGGCTCCGCCCCTGCGTCTGCCAACGAATGAAAACTGCATTACTTTTTAGGTCAGGGCAGGTATGGGTGGAGCTTAATCTTTGGCTTTAATGTTTTCCTAACTAATACAGTATTCTTTGAATAAAGCGATACTCAAAAACATGTTTTTAATTTCTCGTACAGAAATAAGAATTTTGCAGTTAAGCTCCGCCCCTCTTGGCTCACGACGAATAAAAAAAATCATCACAATTGAGATAGGGTGGGTGGGCGGGGCTACATTTTGCCTTTTTTTCTTAATATGTGTAGACTTATTTCGACATAAAGAAACTGAAAACATGTCTAAAATGGTAATTTTTTGTAGTAATCAACTTAAATCCTCCAGTTTTCTTCTACAACCTCTTTAAATATGCCAAAAGTTGAACATCAAAGTTACTATCAACGCCAACTTGGCAACGGGCTCGTTGAAACTAGGCAACACATTCGTCACCACATTTAGTTTTTAAATTATGCAAAACAAGATTTTTATATAATCCAACAAAATAAATATCAACACCAATATCAAATGCATAAATAACGTCTTCACCTACATTTGATTTTATTCCTGTTTTAATTTAATTAGTGAGAATATACGCTAGAACCGTAAAAAGGGCAAGAAAGCTATCAACTTCTTGCCAGTTCTCATTAAGGAAGACCAGATTATTTATGCCTATTCATAGGAAAAGTTTCGTTGCAGCTGCATCACTAACAGGAAGTTTTCCTCGAAAAATAAATACCATAATTTATCACCGTGAAAGTAGCTTTTAATTTAAAACTGTCTGCGGTGCGTAGTGACCGCAAACTGATATATCGATCCATTATTCACGATGAATGTAATATCATCACACATAATAAGTCGAAATTTCTGACTTTAACAGTAAAATTTTCCACATTTCATCGGTGAAAAGAAACTTGTTGTACCGCCTAGAACCAATTAAAGGGTACAGTGCACTTCGTGGAAATTTTACAATCTGTTAACAAAAGCTGCTAGAAAGTCCAGATTTCATAGTAATTGCATTTTATGATTGCGATTCATTATCGCACTGTGACTGGCATAGTGTAATGTAAATGCAAATTTATTGTCTCTAATTGCTTGGTGTTTGTTCGTTAAATGAAATTTAGTTCTGCTTTTAGTCGTAGGACGCTCGTTGAAATTAAAAGTACTTTGCACCTATTTTTTGCTATAAGAATCCACCTATGTTGCAATTAAGTGGTTTAGATAGTGAACGTGGTAAGTGGGAATTTCTTTTTTTTTTTTATTGATGATCAACTTTCTTCTTAGCTCTACATTTCTCAGTATTACTATATTTTTACTGTGGGGCAATTAGGCCGTTCTCTTTGGATTTCACCGGGGTTTAGCTTGACCATCGCCGGTGAAAAATAACAATTTATTAAATCTTAGCGGTAGTACTGACTCGTACCATGAGTGAACGGATGAACGACGTAGGCAAATTTAAACACTTTATTTTAATACAAAATGACTGACACATAGTACACATCTTATTATTACTATACAACGAAATCCACACTTGTGGTACTATAAGTACTGCATTTGTTTTAATATGATTTTATTTAACAAGTAACAAACTTAGAAAGTAATCATGCACTATGATACAGCGAAACTACAAACAACGGGCTAAACATGTCGCTACAGGTAGTTAATACCTTCCATCAGTCTTCAGCCCCAGTGTACTCCCAAAACATCCAGTGGCATATCCAGAAAATAATAAGTTACGACCTACATCTAAAGACTAGTTACGCCACTGCTCCTTTATACATAACAGAGTACTTAAAGTACTAACACTTCCTTAATTTTTCGCTTTATTAAGATAACGCGACTTCAATAATTCCGCCGTTTGCGAACTAATTGTAGTAACGGGTTCATTCTTAACTTGTGGACTTGGAACAAAATTATTGTTATCTTGTTCCGCTACATACTTCGAAGAGTACTGAGGATTAGTACCAGCCGCAACTGCATGGAAATTGCTACCTAAATGCGTACTCAACTGAGCCTTAATCTGAGCTTGCTGCTCGGGTGTGAAATGCTCAAAACCTGTGACAATCGCAGGCGCTGTCTTCATCTGCGTCGAGACGTACTGCTGAGCGGCCAACTGAGCCAAATGCGCTATACTACTCAACTGAGATGTTTGTGGCTGCGGTTGTTGTTGTTGTTGCTGTTGTTGTTGTTGTTGGTGGTGGTGTTGTTGTACTTGTTGGACCTGGAATTGAGCTTGAGCTGGCTGAGTCGGGTACTGTACCGCTGGGGTCGGCATGGGACTCGTGTGAGCTACGAGTTGAGGCTGGGTCGCAATCTGAGTAGTCACCTGAGGCGACTGAGACAAAAAGTAGTTACTAACAGGGGACGCCAGTACTGGGTGCATGTAAGTGGCAGTGGGTTGTACCGCCTGGAGTTGAGTATGTTGGGCTTGGGTTTGTTGGGCTTGTTGCTGGTAGTTCCCGTGCAGCAACTGGTACCTAGCTTGTGGGTTATTGTGGAAGTAGTTCAAAAGTTGTTGCATAGGGTTTCCGTACACTAAGCTCTGAGGCAAAAGGGCTGGTTGTGCTATGATGATCATGGCGTGTTGTGGCTGAGGCGCATAGTACTGTTTAGGGAGAATCTGAATAGGTATGTAGTGGGCTCTCTGCTGCAACGGAATCTGGTGCAAAGGCTGGATTTGTACCGGCTGGAGCTGAATTTGTTGGTGCAATTGTTGCACCGGTTGCTGCAGTTTCACCGTTTGATAAACCATGTCATACTTAGGGTTTTGCTGGATGGTATTAACCGGAGATGACGTCGTCTTTGATTTCACGTCTTGTTTATCGGCAGCATAGACTTGGATGATGCACAGGATCACCGGAAAGATAACCTGAAAGCGGTAAATTTTCCTTAATAATGTGTTATTATTGTGATGAAAATGTTGCATGAAATCGTTTTGTTACGCCGTGGGTCATCAATTTGAAAGCGTGTAATCTGAACAGGTGTGGGCCGAAATGGGTGGCTCCATTAAGGTGTTTAAATTATGGGCGATTTGTAAAATTTTAATACTACATTTCTATTTTTAGGGCATGTATTAATTAATTTATTGAAAAGTTAATGTTAATAGGTGGATGACTTGTTAAAAATGTTAAAATAATTCAAGCTGGGTGTGTTTGGAGAAGGTACAATAATAATGAAGTGGTCTGAATTACTTTCACCGCAATTATGTGTTTATGTTGCAGCTGCCGAAAATAGCAAATTTGTGTTGGAAGAAGGATTGGTAAGTCAATGGCATGCCATTCACCACAATGGAAATTTTCTACTGCTTTCGTACAAGAGTGTTAAAATGGTTGCGGATCTATTTTGAAATTGCCTATATTTCACAAGGTAGTAGTTTTGAACTAATGTAATAGATTAATCAATTACACATTTCTTCGTAATTAATTTTTTAATTAAAGAAATTTGTTTCAGCGTATCACATTTTTTCGAAAACTTGTTCGCCTGTAAAATTTCAATAATTAAAACCGTTATAATAAATTGCATACGGTCTTAAATTTTTTAATAAATGAACAATGCTTAATCTAGCTATGACATTCGTTTTAAAATGAAAAATTTTCATGTTGGCTGATCAGCGTAAATCTAGAACCCGATTTACGGAAGCTTGTAATCACGTCATTCTCTCAAAGAAAATTTGTGATTTCGTTTTGAGATAATCGACGAAATGTTGAAATATGTTTTTAATAATATACGCAATGACACTCACCATACAAAAAAATGAACTGACTTAAGTAGAGCGGAGAAGTTTCTCACGTTTTTCTGAATCTTTTATTAAGGCAAATTTGTTCTGGTCGTGAAACGTTTGACACGTTTTATGGTATTTAATATTAGCATGGTACTGTAATCTGGTATGTGGGTTGTATACATTGTTTAAAATTTTATAGTTATTCATTTCTATAATTTTTTCAAAACAATACACAATAACAATCATTTGAATTTAAGTTTTCAGATTTCAGTCGGATCTTTATAGATCGATTCTGTAACTTGTTATGTTAATAACATTCTGCTATCACTATGTAAACACAGCTAACATTATGTTGTTGCTATGTAATAACATATTTAACATAAATTGCAATTCGTTAATAGATCGATTCTGTAAGTTATTATGTTAATAACATTCTGTTATCACTATGTAAACACAGCTAACATTGTGTTGTTGCTATGTAATAACATATTTAACATAAATTGCAATTCGTTAAGCTTGTTTCTGTTATGTTAATAACATTATGTTATTAAAATACTCTGTAAAATAACAGAGACATTTGAGTCAATGTTATTAACATAATACGCTTATTTTAACGTTTATTAATTAATAATATCACAAATTTGACTGCGGTGGCAAAAGAAGTTAAAATGGCAGAAGTGGTTGATTTTCTACCCGTCTTCGGTTATTTATTATTAGAAGACGAAATTCAACGATAAGTCTTTCATATCATAGTATTACTAATAAAAATATAACAATGCATGTATTATAGGAACAGGATGAGAATTCGGCGGAGGGAACTTCGCGACAATCAAAAACCCTTTGAAAGTTTAACAGAGACGGAATTTAGAAAGTCCTTTCGTTTCAGCAAAAATCTGACCCGTTTCTTACTGCAGAGGTTGCAACGTCATTTGGGAAATCTACGTGCCAATGGTATTCCTGGATACGTAAAAATTTTAGCCACACTGAACTTCTTAGACGATGGCTCATGCCAACACTGCTTAGGAAAGGAATGTCTTCTTCTACTGCCATGAGTCAACCATCGGTTAGCAGGGCCATGACTCAAATTTGTCGCCTAATTAGTGAAATTTTAATGCCTCTCTTTTACGAAAAAACAAATTTTCGTGATGTAATTATTTGTTTGACAGTGACAGATGATGAAAATGGTATCATTACTTCGAAAAATAACATTTTCGGACAAATGACACATCTGTTATTTAAGTACTAACATAACGGTTTAGAGAATACGACATTTCTTGTTTTATGTTAACGTCGTGATAACAGCAATTTTAATAACAGAAATTTAAAATAACATAATGTTAACTGATTGTTACAGAATCGACCTATTAAACTACTTTATTTATTCATATAAATATTTTCTCTCGAAATATACATACTAATTGCCAATGGCCAAAGTCTTTTAGCGGTCAACTCACCAGCCGTTGGAAAGCGGTGATTTATCCATCAGGTGTAGTAATGAAATCATCATATCATAATTTGATGGTCATTTTAAGGTAAAAGAAAATGGGCACACTTGAGAAACACTTCAAATAGAAATTCATCGAAACACTTACGACGAACATAATTATTAATTATAATCCATGGATGACTGATCGATGTTAATGGTCATCATTTTCACAGAACCTCTTCGCATAATAATACTCATAATTACAACTCAATCAGCGTTTGTATACGCATAAATAATACAAAAGGTAGAATTTATAGTCATTCGATTGAAACTGTGGCGACACTTTTTCTAGAAAGTGTGGTTGCGTGCACCAAAATTTGGACCAAATCCTCAAATTTCGTTTCTTCTTTTAGTAATTACCATGCTTGAACTACTTCGGATTTTTATAAAAAAAAAAACGGATTTCTTGTTTGAATTTACAAACACTGGAGTCAAAAGGAAGTCCAGGTTTCACTAGTATGTGGAAGACTGCCAAAGTGTTAATTAAATGGTAATGAAAGTACTTTAATATGTAATGTTTCGGTTCGGTTCACAGCGATTGATTCGTATCTCAGCATGTTAACAAAGCTGATAAAAACCAGATTTACTTTCTCTGACGTTACTTGTCCTGTCGCATGTTTGAAAGTGAGTGCTATTATTATTTAATAATACGTTTAAAGGCAGTATTTGGTCTACTGTGTGAGTGGTAGAGGCTCATTGTTGGATTTTCCGCACTTTCGATTGTAAATATAGCAAACAATGAAATGTGCGAAATTCTTCCGTATGGAATATTTGTAATAAGTGGCTAATTTTTTACGGCAAAATAGTTGTTGCGAAAATGGGCTGCACACGGTTTCTAACGCTATTTTGAAAAATGGAAAGCGACTTCAAAGAAATTCCATAAAATTGGTTTTTGTAACTACATGACAGAAATTTATTATCACGGTAATTTTGCCAGTGACACGCTTTATAATGGAGAGGATCGTATATTGCTTGATTTGCATACACATAAAATTTTACTGCAGCGAGTATTAATAGAAATTACAGGAATACATTTTTCTGTGGGGATATAAAATATTTTGTGTTGAGATTATTTACTTATCTGGGTGGTACTAAATTTGATTTTTTATTTTTTTTATTTGGTCAAAATGGCTTGTGTTTTTCAGCTATACAGCCAAAAGTTAGAGTCTTTTGAATTAAAAATGTACAAGTATTTTCAAAATATAAAATTTTAAACAATGAACTTTTCGGAAAAAACATGGTTAATCTGTGACAAAGTGTATTAGTTTTATTTTAACCCAAGAAATAAAAAAAAAAGAAATTAATATTACTTGTGCTTTTGGAACATGAAAAATTAAATATTATTTAATAAATCTTCATTAAAAACCTTTTGTAAACTATTCATATTTTTGACTCAACCTATACGAGTTGTTTTAAAATTAATTTGGGCATCCTCTCCACAAAGTTAATGACGTCATAATAGTATTAAATAGAATGAGTGTTTAAGTAATATGTTTTTATTTTTAGGTTTGTTTGGACTCTTTGTTTTATCGATTCGTTGTTTCATTGTACATAAAACATATATATCTACCCCCACCAAAATATCGATGACGTCATTTCAAAAAATTGTTAGACATTTCTAAGTTGATATTTTTTTGGAAAAATATTTATTACGAGTCTAACAAAAATAAAAAAATTAATTAACAACACACAGTATTACAATATTAAGTAGTTCCATGAATTAAAAAAAAATATTTTGTGTACAATAAACTAATAAAACGATAATAAATAAATTCAAAAACCCACATTTCCTCGCACTCGCACTTACCAAGGACTTCATGCTGCTGAACTTGAAGACGTCCAAAAACCGCTAAGACGTCAACAAACAATTCACACTCACCTCCGTGGAACAAATGCACCAGATCCTGAAACCCCTCTCTTATTTATAGTTTAAAAGAACCCAGAGTATATTTTTGTTGAAAACACGTCCCAGTTTGCAAGAAGGAGAGAGAGAGACGTACAATTTCACTAAACCGGTGGAGAGTACTTTCGCTGAAGGTTACTGTATCCTTAATATTTTTCATAATTGTGACCATAGCATGCTGCGGAGACGCTCTTTTTGACGTGCTTCACCTAATTACGATGCATTTGTGCATTGTTTTGCGGAAAAAATGAAATAATTTCCTTTTAATGAGTACGCGAAAAGTGGGTATTTGTTATATTTAATTGGCACGGTCTCTCTAATGCCGTTGTTATTAAAGTTGCATCACGTCATCTAAAATGCATTATTTTTGGATTTGGCCGGGGAGGAAAAGTTGGACGATTTTGTTAATTATTTGAAAAGGTGATATTAATTTTATTGTACTTTCAGATTTAATTTGTTAGCGATACGGTGAGCAGCAATGTGTTAAAAATGCTTTCAAAAATTGTTGCGATAACTGAGGCTAATTAAAGTGTGGACTAATTGCAATCATTAATTTGACTATGGATTCTCTAGTGTTTGCATGCTCTGAATATTACAAACAATTTTAACAGTAACACAATTAATTAAGTTTTTGTTTAATTAAGGAATTTGTCAACGGCAAAAAAATAGAAACATTTATTTATCACCTATGATGAAAAACATTAGCCAAGAATTAGCAGCAAGGTAATAATTTTTACTTTTACTTCCCCGGCGATAGCTTAAGTGGTTGTTTAATAAGATTATTTGAAAAGTGTCTAATTTGTCTTTTCCGTTTGTCTGTCTGTTGCAGATATTACTAGTGAGAAATTTGCTATATTTAACTGTTTGTTTTTAATTTATTCTATTGGTTGTTTTAGCTCACGCAATGTCTCAAGAAGAGGTCGCATTTTTTCCAAAAGCGTGACAACTTTTAACTATCGTGTTATGTTCTATCAAACATATTAGGTGGTTTTTCGACCGTGAATTTTCACTTTCTTAAAAAATTGCCGTTCACCTACGAAGATAACTCTCACTATCGTGTTAACATTTTTTGATTCCACCTTCATCAATTTCGTGCAGACATAATCCAGTTCAATCAACAGTAAAGAATGTTAAGATTTTATGACTTTTATTATTGACCTAGAAAGCAAAGGCCGTGTCGACATTCGGTGAATGTCATGATCATGGTTACGTTACTGTTTTCGATACTATTAATTCTGGTTCAGCTTCCATTTAAACTTAAAAAGCCGTTACGGTTCAGTTAATTCAATTTTTATCAGAAAGGTAAATTCATTGTTGTCAAAATTTTTATTTGTAAAATTTATTATCAACTTAAGAACCACAATGGAAAAAAGTTTGTTTTCTTAGCTGGTAATGCTTTAGGCATGAGAGAGCGAACCATTACTTTTATTGGATTCAGGTTTTAATTAACAATCAAACAAATGTTGACTTTTGTCTTTACGACCTGTTAAAACCGATCAATGCTTTCTATTTTCTTAAAATAATTAAATTTTTTTTAAATAATTGTTACACCTCATTATTGATCAAACACTTCTAGAGGTAATCAATATTCCCATAGCATCAACCCTTGTTTACTTGCTATTTATTAGAGACCGTCAGATCCAGTTGAAACTTCAGTGTCCAAAATGGTCATTCTTCACGTCAAACACAACGACCAAAACCAGTTTCTGTTCGAAACCACCCTCAAAACCTCCGTCGAAGAAGTCGCCTCTAAAATAACCGCCATCTATAATGGCCGCCTCAAAGTCAACCGGATTTGTGGCGAAATGGAAGAACTGGCCAAACACGGTACGTTGTACCCTCCTGAAATTTTAGGATTGACGCCGGAACAAGTCCAAGAAATGAAGCTAGTGGACACCTGGGGCGAAAAGTGCATTCCTAGTGGGGGCTATACGATGGTGGACGACCCCATAGGGCGCAGAAACGGGAAGCAACCTCGCAAAGAAATGCAAGACGTGTTACACAAGGCAATCAAGGATGCTAAGGAGATGATTTCGAAGAACCTGGTGCTGCAGCACAAGTGTTTGACTATGAAGGTGGTGCAGGAGGCTGTAAGTTTGTTAAAAGGGGCAACGATGATCGTGTATCCGATGAAGTTGCCCCCGCACGATGTGATTCGTATGGAGTTCGAAAATATTGAGGATTTGTCAGGAACGCAGGCTTCTTTGGAGGTGGTTGATCCAGCGACGGCTCAGTTGTGGTTTTGCGGGAAAGAGATGTACCGAGACGGGAAAGTCTTAGGCGATTATGTTGGTAAAATCGAAAATTGCAAGGTTGGTAGAAACGTGTTTACTTATTTATCATGTTCGTGAGTTTTTTTTTGTTTAGGTGATTGTCAAGTTGACTAAGCGGGGACAGGGACCACCAGCAAGAGAGCCGATTATGTCAGAAGAACAAAGAAAAGAATTTATGCTTCATGCGTATAGGAAGCAAGAAGAACTGAAGAAGTTAGACGCGGATGACGACGACAATTATTTTAATAGTGAATGGGCGGATAGTAACAATTTAAAGAAAACGTTCCACGGACTTAACAATATTTCGTGGCGACCAGGAAAATAAATGATCAGTTGATGTTAGTTTCAATAAATATCTTTATTTTGTCTTCACTTTATAAAATTTGTTACATTTCTTAGTTGTACACTTTTTTTACAATGAGCGTTGTGCTCCTGGGGCTATAGAAATATGTTGCACGGTACTCGATATTTTAGAGCGCTCTTTCTTGTGCAAGGTGACTCCTGTAAAATCGTCAGATTAACATTTGCTCGCGTTTGATGAGTTTAAACGTTACCGTGTGGACTGACCGCGTGGACCGTTTTCGCGTGATCTTTCGAGTGGTCAGCTTTGTAAATTTGGATACCTGATAAATAAATATGAACCTAAGTGTCGTATGCTATTGACGCGAAGTTACCTTTTCCATTGGAATTTAATAGACCTCCCAAACCACCGGCAGGGCCTCCAAATTGTCCAAATGAGCCAAAACCTGCAATAGATAATGCATTTGATTCATTGCGGTATTGGCTGTATTTATGTTTTTACCGGAAGAGCCACCATGTTGTACACCACCTGCCCAAGCTTGACTGTTTCCAAATGATGATGAATCAGCTCCACCAAATCCATGACCAAAGTTGGAGCTGTGTCCTGCATTAAAGCCTGAAGAAAATTGCGAGTTTCCGTCTCCCGAAGCTGATGCTCCACTTTCGCCAACATTGTCTACGCTACCTCCATATCCGCTACCAAAGTTGGAGCTTGCTCCGCCTGAGAATTGTCCAGACGCGGAAAATCCACCTTGTCCGAACCCGCTGCCTACAACACACGTTACGTTTGTTCTTATACATTTACTAATGTAATAAACAGGCTACCTGACACTTGAGTAGGTTGAGGACTTGATACAACAGCACTTCCTGATCCTGAACTAAATCCTCCAGATCCTTGGAAACTTCCATAACCAGAACCTCCACTACTTATACTAGAGGATGCTCCTCCTTCTGGAACGCTCGATACGCTTCCTCCAAATCCACTACCAAAGTTAGAACTTTGTCCGCTTGAGAATTGTCCTGACGCAGAAAATTCTCCTGATCCACTTTGTGCGTCTTGTCCAAAACTACTGCCTGCAACACACGTTACGTTTGTTCCATTTTCAACGAATGAAACAGGTTACCTGAAGTTTCAGCAGGTTGAGGACTTGATACAACATCACTTCCTGATCCTGAACTAAATCTTCCCGAAACTTGTGAACCTGAAGATCCTAGGAAACTTCCATAACCAGAACCTCCAGAACTTACACTTGAGGATGATCCTCCGTCTGGAACATAGCTTCCAGGTCCACTTGATGTCCTTCCTCCAAATCCACTACCAAAGTTAGAGCTTTGTCCGCTTGAGAATTGTCCTGAGGCAGGAAATTCTCCTGATCCACTTTGTGAGTTTTGTCCGAAAGTACTGCCTGCTCCATTTTCAATTATTGAATTTTATACATTTACTAAGAAGATAACTAAATTACCTGAATATTCAGCCGGTTGGGGACTTGATACAACAGCACTTCCTGAGCCTGAATTAAATCCTCCAGAAACTTGTGAACCCGCAAATCCTTGGAAACTTCCATAATCAGAACCTACACTACTTATACTAGAGGAAGCTCCTCCTTCTGGAACGCTTGATACGCTCCCTCCAAATCCACTACCAAAGTTGGAGCTTTGTCCGCTTGAGAATTGTCCTGACCCAGAAAATTCTCCTGATCCAGAAAATTGTGCTGATCCACTGCCTGGAACACATATTTATTACATTTGTTCCATTTTCAATTTGTATACTAATGAAATAAATAGGTTACCTGAAACTTCAGTTGGTTGAGGACTTGATACAACTGCACTTCCTGCTCCTGAATTAAATCCTTCAGAAACCTGTGAACCCATAGAACCTTGGAAACTACCATAACCAGAACCTCCAGAACTTATAGTAGAGGATGGTCGTCCTTGTGGAACGTACAGCCCCGGTCCGCTTGATGCGCTTTGTCCAAATCCACTACCAAAGTTGGAGCTTTGTCCGCTTGAGAATTGTCCTGACGCTGAAAATTCTCCTGATCCCGAAACTTGTCCTGATCGACTTTGTGTGCTTTGTCCAACAGTACTCGCTGCAACATATGTTATGTCTGCTCCATTTTCTACTATTGAAATAATTAGGATACCTGGAACTTCAGTAGGTTGAGGACTTGATACAACACCACTTCCTGATCCTGAATTAAATCCTCCAGAAAATTGTGAACCCATTGACCCTTGAAAACTTTCATAACCCGAGCTTCCAGCATTTACACTAGAGGATCCTCCTTCTGGAACATAGATTCCGGGTCCACTTGATGCAGCGCCTCCAAATCCACCACCAAAGTTAGAGCTTTGTCCGCTTGAGAATTGTCCTAACGCGGAAAATTCTCCTGATCCGCTTTGTACGTTTTGTCCAAAGCCACTGCCTGCAACACACGTTACATTTGCTCCATTTTCCATTTGTATATTTACCAATAAAATAAATGGGTTACCTGAAACTTCAGTTGGTTGAGGACTTGATACAACCGCACTTCCTGATCCTGAATTAAATCCGTCGGAAAATTGTGATCCTTGGAAACTTCCGTAACCCGAGCCTCCAGCATTTATACTAGAGGATGATCCTCCTTCTGGAACATAGATTCCGGGTCCATTTGATGTAGGGCCTCCAAATCCGCTACCATAGTTGGAGCTTCGTCCGCTTGAGAATTGTCCTGACGCGGAAAATTCTCCTGATCCACTTTGTAAATTTTGTCCAAAACCACTTCCTGCAACACACGTTACGTTTGCTCCAATTTCAATTTGTATATTTACCAATAAAATAAATAGGTTACCTGAAACTTCAGTTGGTTGAGGACTTGATGCAACACCAGTTCCTGATCCTGAATTAAATCCTCCAGAAAATTGTGAACCCATAGACTCTTGGAAACTTCCGTAACCCGAGCCTCCACCACTTATACTAGAGGATGATCCTCCTTCTGGAACATACACTCCGGGTCCATTTGATGCAGCGTCTCCAAATCCGCTACCAAAGTTGGAGTTTTGTCCTGCATTAAATTGTGCAGAAAACTGTGCGTTTCCACCTTCCGAAAGTGATGCTCCACTTTCACCCCCGGTGGATACGCCACCTCCATAGCCGCCACCAAAGTTAGAGCTTTGTCTGCCTGAGAATTGTCCTGATGATGAAAATTCTCCTGATCCAGAAAATTGTCCTGATCCACTTTGTGTGCTTTGTCCAAAAGTACTCGCTGCAACATATGTTATGTTTGCTCCATTTTATACATTTACTATTGAAATAATCAGGATACCTGGAACTTCAGTGGGTTGAGGATTTGCTACAACACCACTTCCTGATCCTGAATTAAATCCTCCAGAAAATTGTGAACCCATAGATCCTTGGAAACTTCCGTAACCCGAGCCTCCAGCATTTATACTAGAGGATCCTCCTTCTGGAACATAGATTCCGGGTCCATTTGATGTAGGGCCTCCAAATCCGCTCCCATAGTTGGAGCTTTGTCCGCTTGAGAATTGTCCTGACGCGGAAAATTCTCCTGATCCACTTTGTAGGTTTTGTCCAAAACCACTTCCTGCAACACACGTTACGTTAGCTCCATTTTCAATTTGTCTATCTACTAATAAAACAAATAGTTTACCTGAAACCTCAGTAGGTTGAGGACTTGAGATAACAGCACTTCCCGATCCTGAATTAAATCCTTCGGAAAATTGTGAACCGATAGACCCTTGGAAATTTCCATAACCCGAGCCTCCACCACTTATACTAGAGGATGATCCTCCTTCTGGAACATACAATCCGGGTCCACTTGAAGGGCTCCCTCCAAATCCACTACCAAAGTTGGAGCTTTGTCCGCTTGAGAATTGTCCTGACGCGGAAAATTCTCCTGATCCACTTTGTGTGCTTTGTCCAAAACCACTGCCTGCAATACACGTTAAGTTTGCTCCAACTTCAATTTGTATATTTACCAATAAAATAAATAGGTTACCTGAAACTTCAGTAGGTTGAGGACTTGATACAACAGGACTTTCTGATCCTGAATTAAATCCTCCGGAAAATTGTGAACCGATTGACGCTTGGAAATTTCCATAACCCGAGCCTCCACCACTTATACTAGAGGATGATCCTCCTTCTGGAACATACAATCCGGGTCCACTTGAAGCGCTCCCTCCAAATCCACTACCAAAGCTGGAGCTTCGTCCTGCATTAAAATTTGCAGAAAACTGTGAGCTCCCACCTCCCGAAGTTGGTGCTCCGCTTTCACCAACATTGGGTACGCCACCTCCATATCCCCCACCAAAGTTAGAGCTTTGTCCACTTGAGAATTGTCCCGACGCTGAAAATTCCCCTGATCCAGAAAATTGTGCTGATCCACTGCCTGTAACACATGCTGCGTTCGCTTCATTTTCAACAAAAACATGTTGTGTATTTAAGAATGAAATAAACTGGTTACCTGGAACTTCAGTAGGTTCAGGACTTGATACAACAGCACTTCCTCTTCCAGAAACTTGTGAACCGGTAGACCCTTCAAAATTTCCAAAACTAGAACTTCCACCACTTACACTAGAGGATGCTGCTCCTTCTGGAACGTAGAGTCCCGGTCCACTTGCGCTCTTTTCAAATCCACTACCAAGGTTGGAGCTTTGTGCTGCATTAAAATCTGCAGAAAACTGTGAGCTTCCACCGCCCGAAATTGATGCTTCGCTTTCACCAACATTGTCTACACCACTGCCATATCCACCACCAAAGTTAGAACTTTGTCCGTTTGAGAATTGTCCTGATGCAGAAAATTCTCCGGATCCACTTTGTACGTTTTGTCCAAAACCGCCGCCTGCAACACTTGTTACGTTTTTTCGATTATCAATTAATGAATTAACCAAGTTACCTGGAATTTCAGCACCACTTCCTACTGAGTTTCCTGAATTAAAGTTTGCAGAAAATTGTGCACCGGCAGGTCCTTGCGCTCCAAAACCAAAACCACCAGCACTGGGTGGTGCTCCTTGTGGGGAATAAACTCCAGGGTTATTTCCCACGGTGCCTACGGATCCTCCATTTGCACTGCTAAAGCTAGCGCTTTGTCCAAAACTACTGCCTGTAAGAAACTCAACCTGAGCTTGTACATATTTTCTGAGTTAGTCTTTTACCTTGCGATGAAACTGCTCCTGTGGAATCACTACTTTGTACAGCACCTCCACAGCTAGGTCCCCAACAACCCTGAATGCTTCCAGCTGAGGGTCCATTTGATGATAATTGAATTCCATCAGAACCACCACTTGCTGACTGGAACCCTGTAGACCCCTGTGTACTTAATCCTCCTGAGAATTGTCCTCCCGAAGAAAACGATGATGCGAAACCATTGCCTACGACAAACGAATGTGTTACTTTTAACAAGTTTTCCCGAAATCCTAGCAGGGTTAGAACTTGACATGGAACCACCTGAAACAAATTCTACAAAAAGGTGTACAACATCAAAATTAGAACTTATCCACCTGCTCTTACCTTCTTGGGAAGATTCTGGTGGTCCTTGTACTCCTTGAATACTTGCACCTGTAGAATGAACGTGTAGATTTGACAATCGTTAAATTTTACACCTACCGTGGCTATAACTTTCGCCTCCAGCATTTGCGGAAATGCTTACACTACCACCTGCAGAACTAGAGGATTCCGAAGCTGCACCACCGAAACCATTAGATCCTTGGAAAAAACTAGCACATACTTGAGGTAAAGCACTCGCTGGATAATAGTTTGCAGTAGCCCCTGGGTATAATAGTAAACTAATAACGAGTAGATATAAGTTCTGAAAAACTAATTTTAGTAAACGGCACAGTGTGAAAAGTGGCTTACTTTAAATTTCATTTTTGTGCATGCAAAGGTTACCCGAAACTAACTAATTCGCTCGGTAGGCAGTTATATACTTTTCTACTTTACACGTGAATTTGTGTAGGAACATTATTTGCAGCTTATCGCTTTTTAATCAAACATCTTTTTTTTTAGAAATGTTCATTACTCTTTTATGCATTAAATTCGAAAAATTTAACAATCGAATTAAATTTTGGGAAATTTAATTTCCCGTGAAATCAAATGATGATTGAATTAGTATGCTAAACAAGCTTATTTTTCGTACGTTTTTAAAAGTTTTGGGCTTTGATTATTGAGGGAATTGGTGCAACTGAAGTGCATCAATCAGTAAGGGCTTTTACCAATATCGTAATTAGGCACAGTGCTAAAGGTGCTAATTTCTTATACGTCTTATCGTTCAAATTAATTGTTGATAATTTAACTCAGTGAAGCATATAATTGCTTTTTGTTTAATTAAAATGGGATGGATTGGGTTATAGTAATAAATTTTGCAACACTTTAACCAATTCTTAGGAACGAAATGATCTATAAACCTATAACATACGATATATTTTCTGCTGTGATTAAGAACGCTTAGCTCCAGATAGGTTAAATCAAAGTAGTATAGAATTTTGTAAAAACAACATAAGTTTAAGTGCCACTTACACAACTACAACTTTTCCAAGCTGAGCTCAAAAGACTCAAAGACTTCCGAAATATACATGTGTGTATTTGTGCCTTTAGAATCGACAACAATATTAAAACAAACGATGTGGGTATAACTGACCAAAACGAAGACAGTTTCCTCGGGTCATAAATTATTAGCGCGCCGCTTAGATCAGATCTGTTAAATCCAAGAACACGCTTGCGGCTAAGGTCGTGCATTGGATAATGGGCGGTGGTTCTATCACTCCTTTACCGCAAATGCAGCGGAAATTGCCATATATGGTACAAAAGAAACTTCGTAATGAACAGAACCTAGTACGGTAACAGGAAATAAATTCTGTTTCTGATAAGATATAATATATCGGGTGCTCCACATGTAGGTACCACTTTTTGATTAAGATTGGATTTGATGGGAACCGTAGCATATATTATTTAGTTTGGTTTATTTCTCTATTAGAATAATTTAACGCGAAGTTGTAAGCAAAATTTACTACCAGTACTACTTTTAAGGAACAATATCGACTTCGAGAAATTCTATATAACATAAGCTTGTCAATACCGAGTCGTATAAACATTATTAGCATAAGATAATTATATACGTTTAATGTTATTTGCTATTACCGGGAATTTTTAATTATAGTCGTTTGGACCCAACGTAATGAGAAAAAAAACTGACGCAAATGTACTTTCCTCGCAGAATAATTGAATTATAAATTATAACACGGTATGCTAAACCATCCAAACCAATATAACTTGTGACAAGCTTGTAACAACTTGAAACATTTAATAAAGCAGCAAAATGAAATTTCATGTAAGTTAAATTTTATTTCTGCAAACTGTAAACAATGTTTGCATCAGTTTTAATTAATTACAGATTTCATTTCTTTTGTGCTTTCTATGCATCAATTTATTTGTCACCACCGCAAATACCAAACCCACGCCAAATTTTGTAAGTAGTTTTACTTAATAAAAAATGTTAACATAACGCTACACATGTTAACAGGTAATTGGATTTCCCGGTACTTACGTCGCAGGATGGTACAATTATCCACTGTATCCATACGTTTACAGTTACCCTATTTACTACAGAGCTGCAGACGGTACTCTAAAAATCACTTGGTCTACAGACACAATTCCATAAACACTTCTTTAGTACTTGAGTAATATATTTAGTAAAAAATCATATCTACAGTAAATGCTTACTTATGCTTTCTACTACAATTACTATTATTAATGCCCTTCATAATAATCTCCCTTGTATGACCCATCGTCATATAAATGCTCCGTGTAGTCGTGAACATATTGCCCTTCGTGCCCCGATCCTGGAGCCAAGAAAGCCCCTGCGTGGACTCCCACAACCGCCGGTACTCCAGCTGCCACGTAACCAGGAGCCACAGCCGCACTCACAACACCACCATGAAGAGCAGGTGCCACCACGGTACCACCGGCGGCAACTCCGGCAATGTGGCTTCCATCAGGACCCACGAGGGACGTTTTGGAACTAGGACCCTGCAGAATGGTACCGTGCGTACCCGGTCCCACCAAAGCAGCAGCCAAGTGGCTCGCGTCGGTGGCAGCGAGAAGCACCACGGCAAGAAAGGCGGCTACCTAAGAGAATCAAACCATCAGTGAGTACTATTTGCTAAATTAAAGTTTTGAAAGTCTTTAGAGGTATTTTAGTAGAAAGATGAATATTTTAGTGTCTGAATAACTTACCTGTATTTTCATGTTTGTGAAGCAATTATGGTACGATCAAATACATGATGAACGTGGTACCGAGTTGCATTTATAGAATCAAAGTGACCTCGCACACCCATCTAGCCCTTCTTTACGGAAATAATAGCAGTGTACTTGTAATAATTCTGAAGCCGAGATGAAAGTACCAAATTGTGAATAGTCAAATTATTTCAATCTTTTTTTGGTTATCTGTATTAAATCTCCTGTCACTTTTAATAGAGCTATTCGTGTAATGTTTACAGTTATTATCGGGAACCTTGAACGTTAGAAGAATGTAAAATAGGGCGGAGTAATGGTTTATTTGCACGCTTCAAACAACATGCATTATGATTATGCATTCTTATCATTGCTGCTGTCAATGCAACATATCAAACTTTGTTCCGGTACTACTGCAAATTTCCCAGAGTAATGAGTTCTTACTTTTCGCACTTAGCTAATATAAACATAATTATAAAAATCTTTGATATTCAAATTATACTCGTTCCGGTACTACAAGAAAACACAAACTTACGCAAAGCTTAATTAGAACGAAAATCGTCGCACTATCACCAGAAAACTAATTAAAATGTGCTACAAGTAGGCGGTACCCCCAGGGTACTAAAATTCATCTAACAAAATTGGTAGAATCAAAATGTGTTAGAATAAAACACCTTCTACAAAAAAATGCTATTTATTATGAGAACACAGAGACAAGACTGCTAAATTACCAATGCCCCAAGAGCCCTCCCCCCAACAACCCATGACCTCCCAGCCCCAAAACGGGCCCAGCGACGATGCCACCAGGGTGAGCGAGTCCGACGCCGATGGCCCCCGGGGCTACGGCGGCGGAGACGACGCCTCCGGGAATGGGGGCGGCGGCGAGAGCTCCGGCTTGAGCGGCCGCTGAGATATGGCTGCCGTCAGGGCCGACGGCAGCACTATGAATCGCGGGCCCTCTGATGACGGCGCCGGGGTTGCTGGGTCCTACGAGGGTACCTCCCAAGCCAATAATGGAGGCGTTGGTGGCGGCGACGGCGGCGAGAAGGAAGACGGCGATCTGAAGAATTATTTGTAGTGTTGGGAGTATTGAGAGTTTTGGGAGCTTACCAAGGAGTTCATGGTGATGTTGTTCTCAGCTGATTGGAACTGAATGATTAGCGGTGGAGCCCTACGGTTTATATATGATTTTTGAAAAATGGGTTAACCTTCGACTAGTTCTTACGCATATTTAGTAGGTATTGCATGGCTGGTTTTCAAGACATGTGCTGGGTGGAGAATATAAAGGATATGCAGTTTTATGAAAAAAATTTATAGGCTGGGAAATGTCAAGTAATGTGAGTATGTAGTTGTTCTATTTTACGTAAGGTATACTTATTGGGTACATTTAAAATGTGATTTCATATGTATTAAATTTTCATTTATCTTAATCAGTCTCAGTAATATAGTAAGCTATGAATGATGTTATATTGACGGTCATCAATTGTGTAAGATTTATGACATTTTAGAGTGTACTAAATGATCCCATTGTTTACGATTTCTTACACATACTTAGAATACGGTGACATATTGTAAATTTAAAGTGTAATTTCTACCTCAAATTCTTTATGACTATTTTCTTTGTCAATAAAAGAATCTAGTTCAATAAAAAGATTTCATGAAAAATCTATATATTTTTTAATTGAGACACTTCCTTCTAAACAACGAAATACACTGTGTTGGATATTGTTGACAAATTTATTAAGTTAAGATGACGTCATAAAATTTTTGGAAGGGATAAACAAAGATATTTGAAATCAATTAAATTAGTAACTGCTAAGGTTAGATAAGAAACAGAATCGAACTAGTGTCAAAAACCATTTTTTTTAATATAGAGAAAAACAAGTTCTCAAAATTTTGAAAATGAAACATAAATGAATTATGAATTAAATTACGCAAAATTTATTTCTTATGCGATGTGTTGTGTATAGGTGGATGAAACGATGCAGTCAAGCATATCCAATGAAGTTGACGACAAAATGTTAATCCAGAACTACAAAAATTGTTTCAAATAATTAAAGTATAATTTATTGCATTTGCTAATCATCTCTAGAAAGCAATACTAATAAAAGAAATTTTTCGAAAAAAAAATTAATAATTTAACTGCTGAAAACTGATCTAAAGTGTTTTTTTGTTTCTGAAACTAAGTTGTTAATAATTTTTTGTTCACTTTCATTACTTTTGTGATATCCATTTTATTATTACTATTATTATGTTATCTAAATATATATAATTTAATGCAAAAATAATTTTATATATATTTACGTGGTGACAGAGCATAATTAATTTAAAATACCATAATCGGAGTGCTATAATTATATTTTTTATGTTTTATTTAAACAAATTAGGTCACGTGATATCTCCATGACCACGACACAACCACTCCATTCTCATGTATATTCATTCATTCAAACATAAACTTTTTATTAGCTTACTTCAAAATTTATCCTGAAAACTGAAACCTTATCCACCACTAATAGCAAAACAACAACCATCATTTCTACAGCTTCACATACCACACACATTTTCTTGAAATATGTCATCAACTAACTAAATGATGCAATAAACGTTGACAAACGTCTCACATCTACTCTGGTAACGCCTTTACAAATACGGAAAACGTCATAAAATATTTTTCAAACGAAGGCTATCCTCTAATATAAATACTGGGTTGAATCAATAATCCATCAAAGCTCAAAAAGCTCGTCAACGATGAACTCCCTGGTAAGTATTAAACCGCAAGCCCTAGAGCATCATCAACATTGTTGTTTTCATTCATTCTATGTAAATTGTATTCAAATAATCCATTATAATCATTTTAGCTCTTCGTCTCTCTCCTCGCCACCCTCTCGGCCGCCAGCGCCTCCATCATCGGCCTGGGCGGCCTGGGGGCCACCGTAGTCGGTCCCGCCGCACCCGGCACCGTCCTGAAAGGGCCCGCCGCCCAAGCCACCGTCGCCGGACCCGACGGAAGCGCGATCTCAGCCGCCGCCCAAGCCGGGGCTGTTGCTGCGGCTGCTAGACCCGGAGGAGTCATCACCGCCGCAGTTGCTCCCGGAGTGGTCGCCGCTGCGGCCCCCATTGCCGCCATCGCCGCTCCCATCGCTGTTGCCGCTCCCGCTCTGGCTCTCGCCGCTCCCGCCGCCGTCATCGCCGGGCCGTCGGGGACGGTCGCCACCACCGGTTTACTGGGGAGGACCGTAGTCGCAGGGCCAGCTCTGGGCCTGGGGCTGGGGCTTGGCGGGAAATTATTGTTGTAATTTTGGGTGATTTTTCGACTGCTCTGATTTAGGTTTAAGGAGGCAGACGTCTGTGTTCTTGTATATATTTATGAAGAGTTTGTTATGAGGTGTCGGTCGCTGCGACTGGTATGAACATGCAAATAAAAATGGATATAAAGAACGTGTTTTGATTATTTCTGTATTTGGGAAAATTGAGGTGTCCTGTTTTCGTTTGTTTGTCTGTTAGGAGTTTCTAAGACACAAAAAACTCTACTAAGTGTGTTTTATGCGGAAGACAATGATGTATAAATAATTCTATAAATATTTAATCTAATTATTATCGATAATTATTAGATCCAAATTAATATGAGATTATATTTAAAAAGTGGCTGAACGACCTTGTTGGCAACGAGTAGAAGAAGAATGGTGTAATTATTATACTCTTACTTTTAAAATTTTCAAATTAAAATAAAATTGTTGGGTGGAGATACTTCAAGGTTCTGTTCAATAAAGTGTTTTTTTCTTGTGTGAGGCGATGCAGGAAAACGTAATCACCTACTAAAATGAAATTGTTTACAATTATATTTTCATAATTAAAAAAATCAAAGCTTTATTGGTTTAATTGACTTTAATTAATTTAATTAGCTGATCTTAATTCCTTACTGCATTGTAGACTAGGTATGTAGTATTAACGTGTACATTCTGGTAATTTCCTTTGTACTTTCCTAGAAAAACGTGTTCATTTGGATTAATTTATGATGGTATAATTGCAGTGGCATTGTAGGTTATGTTTTAAATAAACATTTATTATAAGCAGAGTGACATAATTAAATAAAATTAATGTGGTGGTTAAGCTACTGTATAATGAAATTGCTACGTTTACCACGAACAATTTAACTAAGATCCTCTTTTTATAAAATAGTCTGTTGTATTCTGCAGAGCCCAAATCTGGGACCTTATGTCTTCTTGCTTTTTATCAGTGATTGTATTCGCAATTTTGCATATTGCATCTTTATAAATGTCGTGTTGACTTTACGTTGAAAATGAAAATATACATTAAATTGGTCATCCTTCCGTAAAAATTTATGACGTCATATCAAAGTTTAATGCAACGTGACATGCTTCCTTCTCAATGATTTAATGATTTACCTTTGTTTTTATACCTAGAGTGGTTAACTTAAACAAAATTGTGATACCTAATTTTTAAATTTGTCTAAGAAATTAAATACTCCTTGAAACATTAAACAGATTTTTTTTATGAAACACTCCAAAACCGAATTTGATTTAAATTTTTTAGTGTTCACAGTATTACACTTTGGAATTCCATTAAAAAACCAAACAAACTGCTCAACAAAACAATCTGTTGATTGCTTTAACAAAAGTAATCCAATTTTCTGTAACAAGTAGATATTCGAAATTGCGAAACAATTTACAAACAAACATATCCAATTTAAATTTTGATTTATTACAACTGTTCTAAGTATTTCACGAATGACAAACTTTTTTAACATGAGTATTTCAGTTTCCACTTACGTTTTAAACACTGCATCACTTGGTAGGTAAGTTACCCTATAGTTTATTTTCAATTATCCGTTATTACAGAGTATAGGTACATACACAAAACGACTAAATTAAGTCAAAATTAAAAATAAAACCGCAACCAAAACATATTCTTAATGACTAGTTATTTTTCCGTTTCTCTCCGGCTTTTTTTCCTGCTTCTGCGTCTCTGCTAAACCTGCCCCAGGCTTCCGCAGTTAAACCATCGTTAATTGCGCCTTTTAAACCACCAACACCTAACGAGGACACAGCAGACAAAGGTACGTTAGTTAGTTGTACCGCAGACGCGTCAATTCCAGATTTCGCCAACTCAGCACTGAGAAGATTTTGCTGAGCAAGGTTTGCTAGAGTAACAACGTTGGTGTTATCGGTGTTAGGTGTAAACAAGGGTTGACTTGCTGGTGTTGGACTGGGTATAAGTGTTCCAGCGGCTTGCTGAGCTTGCTGAATCTGGTTGTTGAGTAAAATCTGCTGATTTTGTAACGCCGATATTTGCTCTTGCGTTAAAGTCACCTGAGGAGTGATTTGTAACCCATTTGGAGTAACCCCTGCAGAAGCTTCTTCTCTTTGTATGTTTGACGGGACGGAAGTTTGCGTCTGCCGGATTTGACTGTTTAGTAACGCCTGCTGACTTTGTAAAGCTGCGATTTGTTGTGGTGTCAGCGTTGCTTGAGGAGTTACTTGTGGAATGGTGGGAGTAACAGTTAAAGCGTCTTGTTCTTCTCTTTGAATATTCGTTCCAGTTCCGACTGCTCCTAGACCTGGAGTTGTAAGCAGGGTGCCTGGAGTGGGTCCTACACCTAGTAGAGGACCTGGAGTCGGTCCTAATCTTCCAACGGGAAGTCTCGGTGTTACAGGAATCTCCGGAGGAATAATATTAACAGCGGGTATCAATGCTGGGTTCAAATTTAACTGTGTGTTATCAATAGCCAGCTGGTCTTGTATCACCTGAGGGGTTAAGGCACCTCCAGCTGTTGAAATTGCTACAGCAGCTGCTTCATTCAGAGCTGCAGCCGCATCTGCAGAAGCTGAAGCTAATGACGCTGCGGATGCAGTTGCTACCGCTTGAGGAGCCGCAGTTACTGTAACCACAGGAGGAGTTGCAGTGACTGTAGCTACATTAGGGCTCGAAAAGATAATTGGTGCCCTTGATGTTACTATAGAAGATATAGGGACTGCAGTTACAGGAGACGCGGTTACTGCAATTGAAGCTATATTTGGAATAGCTGCTGCTGTTACTGCAGTTGGTACAGCACTTATTCCGACAGCACCATTTATAACTGGAACTCCTACAATCGGCGGCCCTTTTACTACCGTTTCTGCTAGAACCGCTGGCCCTACAACGAGCTTTTTATTCACTAAGTGGGTGAGAGTTCACCTACCTGTGACTGTGGTTGAAGCTGGGCCAGCAATCACCGACTGGGAGCCTTGAGTGGCAATTCTCCCTGAAGGTCCAATGAGCTCAGAACTTTGTTTGCTTTCTACTACGGGAGCCGGAACTGCCACGGCTTCGATGACAGGTGCGGCTGCTATGGGTACCACCTCTGGAATGACTACCGGTTGTGCTACTACGATGGGTTCCAGTTTAGTTTGGACTTCTCCACCTTCGGCAGTTGCGGTTATGACGCTGCCGTCGGGCCCTTTGATGATGGTTTCGGAGTTGGGGCCCTTGAAGAAGCCGCCGATTCCTCCGGGGTGCAGCGGTAGGGAGGGCGCTGGGTGGGCTAACCCTACGTAGCCAAAGGCTAGTAGTGAAAGCTACAAAGGAATTAGTACTCAACTACGTTAAATTTTAAAGAGTGATGTTAAAGCAGTGAAAATTGCATGATCAAGGTGATATGAGCTTAGTTCGGTTGTGCAATCAAGCATGAAAAGTGTTATTTGAAACGGGTTAAAAATAATTGGTGTTACCATAAACTTCATTCCGGAATCCGTGAACTGTAACTAAGATCTAACTTAATGTCATTTATCTTTAACTTCTGTTTTATACCGCTATGCAACCTTGCGACATTTTTATCCCGTTGTCACCACGCCTTTTCTTTACATAAATGTGAAGTTATTTACAATTACGAAATTATCGACAAATCTGGAATTTTCTTTGTGGAGACACACGCCTCTGGAGTGATTTGCTACCTTTAAACGAACAGGAAGAAATTATGACGATAAACGAAAACGAACAAGTGTAATTGTATACCTTTTTTCCAAAAAAACCCTTTTCTATTTTATATGACCTTTGGTCTTTTACTCTCCCCATGTTTGACCAATAACTCAAATAACAAATAACCCTTCCGTGACCAAACAACACAAATATTTCTAGAGTACTTTCACCATGAATAGTAACATTTGTGATTTTATGACTAAGAAAAATAGTACTGGACAAAAAATTCCCCACACACTCTTGTGCCACACCTTGGAAAAAAACACACGTATCTACAAAATCATCCATCATTTATTTATTGAACACATTTTTACAGTATGGTACTTATAAATAGCATTTACATAATGTACAAGGAAGCTCGTGGTCCTATTTCTCGCGGTGATTTTTGGCAACTTGTTCCCCGAAAGTCCCCACGACACCCCGGCACGCGCCCCAGATGGCAGCAAAACCGCCATGTCGTGGTGACCTTCTCAGTCTATTCAGTCCCTTTCTACCAATGCCCATGCCCATGAGCCCCTAACCCGACGTTGGCGGTGGGTCCCCAGAGCCCGTCGGCGGCGATCCTGCCCGAGGGTCCAGAAACAACGACCGGTGCGGTCGGGGGTCCGCGGACGGCGGCTCCGTGCGCGCTAACCCCGATGACGCCACCTCCAGCGGTGACGGCACCCAGTCCGTGTCCCACGGCTAGCGCTGGTCCGGCCACTACCGCCCCCAGAGCGGATCCGGCTAGGACGGCGGGCCCGGCTACTACGGCGGGTGCTAGAGCTGGTCCGGACACGACGGCGGTGGCGGTGGGGGCGGCTAGCACCGCTCCTCCGTGGCCTAGCCCCAGGCCGGCCCCCAATGCTACGCTTCCTACGCCCACATGGCTGGTGACGATTCCGGCGGGGCCTGCTATCACGCCGCCGAGGTGCGAGGGGGCGGCGGTGGCCACGGCCAGGACGGCGCACACCGCGATGATCTGGAAGGATGGTTAGTTTCCTTGTTTTTGGGTGTTGGATGGCTTACCAATCCGTTCATGGTTTGTAAGGTTTGTGAACTGAACAGTATGATGGTCGGTGTTGTCTCTGGCATATATAGGCATTAATGACCTTCGGTAATGTATTCAGGAATTGTGCGTTTTAAAAAATAGACCAGTTAGTTTCTTTGGTTTCATGATTAGAAATTATAATTTTGCTTTGTCAAGTGCAAGAGCGGCGGAGGTAAAAACGGTGTAATTAGATATTGAAATGAAAGGTGCAGCAGGAGGTGGCTTACGTGCATTGTCACCGACTAACGGGATGTGGCCTTATATGACAGGTGGAGGTTTTTTATTGGACTGGTCGAGAACTTAAGTGCAATAAATAAGCATTATTGTTTATGTGGAGGTATAGAATTTTTAACGGTGTCTGAGACATTTTTTAGATTGCGAGAAACTTCGACAGTAAAGCTCATATACAGAGTGTTCAATTTCAAGTGAACGATTTTAAAACTACTACCTACACAGGAATCAAATTGCACCATAAATTTATGGAAATTCCCGAAACCCTAAACACCATTAGAGAACATCCACACAATAAACTTGATAGTATCTAAATCTAAAAACTAATTTCACACCAGTAGGGAAATAATTACAAAAAAAAAGTTCTCCTGTAGACTGTTTTTTTTTTCTTCCAGTTGCCAACAAAATTCCGTCATGACTTATAGGGGAGTAATAACTATCTAATTATCCTCAAATGTACTATTACAAGCAATAAATTTTGATCGTCAAAAGGATTTTTTAATATACTACAAATTTATTGCCCCTCACTACACCGGTGATTATAAAAAACTACGTATACAATACTGGCCACAAGACCAGTGTGCAAATATGTCTGTATATTTTGAAAAAAGGCATATAAATTCTCACAGAAAATGGTAGAAAATTCTAAAATCATTTTTATTTAATTTACTCCATATCCTGGAGGTTTTTCAATTTTCGACAATAAAACTAGACAAATAAATAGTAAAGTATGCAGGCAATTGTTCTATGTTTGAATTCGTAAAACTTCATGGCTTTTAAGATTAAACCTAGTATTCAGCTTGATCGCATTTAAGTCAAAATTGAGGTATAATGTTTCGATTTGCAAAATTTAATTACAATTAAAATTAAACTGTGAAATTGAGAATTCGGGTTCGATTATAGTTATCAGCATATAATTATTGCAATAAATCTCGGGTTAAATAACTCGATTTTAGTTTGACATACAATTCTACAGCATTTTTCCTTTTTAATAATGCTCATTGTAGATGTTTGGAATTTTTTTAACATACATCTATAAGACACCGTTAAATTTGTGACAGTTGACATTCAAAACGAACATTTTGCAAACATTCTTTTACGTTTCGGATTTCCGTATGTATGTTCTAATTGACAGTCTATGCGTCGGTGTGACAACGTGTTTTGGAATACTTTTGGGTCAATAATAATAATCAATTGACTTCATCAGACAACAGAAAATTTGAGTAGATTTTACAGAAAAATCAGTAATAGAAATAATAAAAAACCACGTTACTTAAACGTAATCATCAGTCATTTATTCAGCACATTTTTCATAATCACAACAAATAATCTATCAAGGTACCATAGCGTCAAAGGCAGTCAACATAGCAAATCCTAAATGGGTCCTAAAATTACCACACCTTGCCGCCCAAGGCGCCCAAGCCGATGTTAGCGGTGGGCCCCCAAAGCCCGTCGGCGGCGATTTTGCCCGAGGGACCGGCCACCACAACGGGGGCGGTGGGGGGTCCGCGGACGGCAGCACCAGCGGCGGTGGCGGAGATGGCGCCGCCTCCGGCAGTGATAGCGCCCACTCCCAACGGAGCAGCCAGAGCCAAGGGGGCGGCAAGAGCGGGGGCGACTAGTCCGGCTCCGGCTAGGCCGACTCCGGCTAGGCCAGCTCCGGCTAGTCCGGCTCCTAATAGACCGGGTCCGACTACACCCAGGCCGCCCAGAGCGGGGCCCGAGACGACGGCTGTGGCCGAAGGGGCGGTCAAGACGGCGGCGGGACCCGCGAGGATGCCGGACGGAGAGGCGGCGCACAGGGTGGCCAAGCAGGCGAAGGCGGCGACAAACTGCAAAAAAACATTTTGAAAATGGTTGTAATTTTTTGGACGGGGCCTACCAGGGTGTTCATGGTTGCGTTGTACGTTGTTGTGACTACTGTGACTATGTGGGGTTCTACCCCTGCTTTTATAGTGCAGAGGATGGCCTTCGTAGCCGAAGATAATTTATTCGGAAAATTATTTTTATATAAATAGGTGTGTGGTTTTGCTGGAAAAGATACTTTTCTGTGGGTTTGGAAGTTGCAGGGGTGAGTGTGTTCAAAAATTGGGTTGTTTGAGTGGTGGGTTTGGTTTTTGGAGAAAAGTGGCTTGAATTTAGTCAGTTGTCGAATATTTAATATTCCTGGGTCGGATAGGTGTTCCTTATGAAACATTGTTGGCAGTTGCATCACGGTAGGCACAAGACAAAGTGCTTTTACTCGAGTGTTCAATGTGATTTCGGAATCTGATACGGTAGTTGATAGTTGAAGGAAAGTGATAATTAAAAATATGATATAAAAATAAATTAGACTAGTCATCTGCGCCATGGGAGATAATTCCGGGATAGTGGCACACCTTTCTTGCAGTCCTTGCAATTATGGCGTAAAAATGTACATTAATGAATAGATATATCAAAGATTTATGACACAGTCTGGAAAAATATTTTCTTTATTTTTTACACCGTCTAGATTTTTAGTTGGATAACCTGACTTACCCTCTATTGTACCCACCTGTGCTTGACAGACGTGGGTATTTTTTGTACCTAGTTTTACGGTTCAGTGGATCTTATTGCTTAAGTGGAACACGCAGCATTCCCGGTATTATAAGCCAAATATAAATTATTGCAAAACCAGTGTTGCTGATTTTAAAACTAAATAAGTTCGAAAATGGATAAATAAAAATTGTTCATAAAAATGGACTTTGTCGTGAATCTTAAGAGAAATATTCGGGTTGAAATTCAGTTTTTTTTAATCCTAAAAATTGCCATATTTCAGTGGAAGGTTATTGAAAAGCAGTAGAAGTTATCGAAGTAGCTGCTAAGATAAGACTGATTTTGGCTAATGACGTATCCTCTAAGAAATTTAATTAAATTTTGTAAGAAAAGACACTAGAGAACCTCAAGATTGTTTCAAATTTTTCAAAAAAAAAAACAGGGTCCTTAAATTACTCAAAAACAGGTCAGGTCAGAATTTTCCAAAAGTAGAACACCAAAGTAACTTCTGGAGGTGGAAATCCAAAAGAAATATCTTTAATTAAGTGTTGAAAATAGTCGAATATTTCATAATGAAAAATTTGGCGTTTGAAAAAGTTACCCAAAAATCTACAAAAAATTCTGGATTATAGATGTCGACCTGCTGATTCAAAAAATATAGCGTGTTTATGGTCCCTGCGCAAATTTTTAAAAATAGTCGACTTGAAATTATATTTTATTAACAATCATAGAAGTTGCCAATGCAAGGTTCAAAAGCGGTAAAAAAAGGGTCGAAATTTTCATAATTAGGGAGTATTGAAAAATGCAATTTTGAAAATATGTTCTGGCAGAGGATGTCTCAAAAAAATTGTGATTGTGATTATACACTAATAAATCGAACCTTTTTAATATAAACATTACATTTACTAGGAAAACCTCTGTTAGCTAAAAAATAAAACTCACTCATGAGTCAATCGGCAATAATTAAGATTTAATTACCCTGTTTATTAACATTAGCGCATTTCTACGTTATTCAGTTCCTTTTTGACCAAGGCAAATCTTGTATTATTCAGTATTCTCATTTATTTTTTAAGTAAAATAAATACACCAGGTGTCCCAAATTTTAAATAAAATAAAAAAACTCAAGTAAAAATCACGTGTCATTTATTGACGTTATACTTCTAAATAAATAATCTATAAAAATATACAGATTCTCAACGCAGAGGCAGTTGTTGTACATGGAAACGACACCTCAAACGGCGCCGCCCTAGATCCATCCAGACCCATTAAATTTACCAACCATGACCCCAGGCTCCATGACCGGCCCAACCGCCATGTCCCCCGGTGAGTCCCACATTGGCGGTGGGTCCCCAGAGCCCATCAGCGACAACTTTTCCAGCGGGTCCGGAGACGACGACGGGGGCGGTTGGGGGTCCACGGACGGCAGCCCCATGAGCGCTAACTCCAATGGTACCTCCTCCGTTGGTCACAACACCGGCACCATGTCCCAATCCAAGTCCGTGTCCCAATCCAAGTCCATGTCCCAACCCGAGTCCAAGTCCTAAGGCGGGAGCGGCTACTACGGCGGGGGCGGCTACGACAGCGGGGGCGGCGACGACGGCTCCATGGCCCAAACCATATCCCAAGCCCAATCCCAGACCGTGGCCGGCGGGGCCAATGGCACCGTGGCTGGTGACGACGCCGGAGGGGCCGGTCACGACGGCGGCTCCGTGGATTCCACCGTGGATGCCGGAGGGGGCGGCGGCGGCGAGGGCGGCGAAGGCGGCGAGAGAGACGACGTACTGCAAAAGAAGGGTTAGTTGAGGCTGGTTTCGAGAGGTTGATTTACCAAGGCGTTCATGGTGGATGTGGTGAGGAAAAGCTCGAGAACTTGACTGAATTTAGTGGGCTTGTACCCTAGTTATATAGTAAGGTACGACCTTCGCGACATTATGGGGAATGGGTTGAATGTAAATGATTGCACGATATTTTGATCGTAATTAACTATCGCACCAAATATTTACTACTTGTGTTAATAATACTACGCTTGAATTAAAAAAATGCTTTTCTGATTTTACGTTTCCAGGTTAAGATATACGTTTCAAGTGAGATTTACTCAATAAACTTTTATTAGCTTCTTTGCCATAATTTTGAGGATATAAAATTTCAAAGTTCCTGGTTAGACAATATCGATAGAGATAATCAAGGTGAAATTGTAGAATGCATTTCAGATTTACTATTTGCCAGGCACGTGCCAATTTGTTTCTTCATTCCAAATTTAATCTCCCAGTGGATTTTTCTATAGTTTAGGAACTGTTGATCTAGAAATTTTGTTCCTACTGGAAGTTAAAATTTTTTTCGTGAAAGTGATAAACAGACTTCTAGTAAGAATAAATAATTTTTTTAGGGTTTCCAGATTTCCATATAGATTTAAATTCAACCGTTTTGTTACTTCTGAAGTATTATTATCCAAACGACATATTATACTTAGTGTACATTTTTATAAAATATTAAAATTTCCAATTTAATATGTTTTAAAAATGTTTAGTGACGTCGATAGATGTAAGTGTTTTTAATTCTTCTTAATTTTAATTTTTAAAATTCGCAAGTCGATATGTCGCCATGACGTCATGGGCAGATTATGCATGGATTTAAGTTAAAAATTACTCCTACAAATTATGATTTTCACTGTCATTTTTAGATTTTTTTATTTTGTACAAACAACTTTAAGAGTAGAACGAAAAAAAAAACTAAAAAAACGTACGAACATTTTTATAATTAAACTTAAGATGAACAAAAGTCCAAGAGATGTGAAAATAATTATTTATTTTTCTTAAAATTATAAGTTTGTAGCAATGTATTATAAATTTTCTACCGAATTTCTGACGTGTCGCCTATGGGAACGGTAGGAGTCATCGTAGAAATGAGGCGAAAAATAACTACTGAAAATCTATATCTAGAAGAAAAGAAAATGTCTTTAAGTGAGTTTATAAGGTGGTCGATACCTATAGGGTCAAAATTTTTATAAAGGGAGAGTCTTGAAAACTGTTTGCTTTTTAAATGTACAACAAAATTTTGAAAATATGTTCCAAATTGCTTATACGGGATGTCTCAAGAAAGTTATTATTATGATTGTGATATGTATATATATACATAATATTGAACGGCGCTCACTAAGATTTAATTACCATGTTTACTAACATTAGCGCATTTCCTTATTATTAATTCATTTTTCAACCAAGGCTAATCTTGTATGTTCAATATTTTTTCCGAAAAGGAACCATCTCATTAATTTTTCCCCAATATCACAGATATTTTTACCACTATTATTATCCTTACAATTTTAAAACTTCATGAAAGTGGAACATATACACCAGGCGTCCCAAATCTTAAATAAAATAAAAAAACTCAAGTAAAAATCACATGTCATTTATTGACGTTACACCTCTAAATAAATAATCTACAAAAATATACAGATTCTCAACACAGAGGAGGCAGTTGTTGTACATGGAAACGACACCTCAAACGGCGCCGCCCTAGATCCATCCAGATCCATTAAATTTACCAACCATGACCCCAGGCCCCATGAGCGGCCCAACCGCCATGTCCCCCGGTAAGTCCCACATTGGCGGTGGGTCCCCAGAGTCCGTCAGCGACAACTTTTCCAGCGGGTCCAGAGACGACGACGGGGGCGGTTGGGGGTCCATGGACGGCAGCCCCATGAGCACTAACTCCAATGGTGCCTCCTCCGTTGGTCACAACACCGGCACCATGTCCCAATCCAAGTCCGTGTCCCAAACCAAGTCCGTGTCCCAATCCAAGTCCATGTCCCAACCCGAGTCCAAGTCCTACGGCGGGGGCGGCTACTACAGCGGGGGCGGCGACGACGGCTCCATGGCCCAAACCATATCCCAAGCCCAAACCCAGACCGTGGCCGGCGGGGCCGATGGCACCGTGGCTGGTGACGACGCCGGAGGGGCCGGTCACGACGGCGGCTCCGTGGATTCCGCCGTGGATGCCGGAGGGGGCGGCGGCGGCGAGGGCGGCGAAGGCGGCAAGAGAGACGACGTACTGCAAAAGAAGGGTTAGTTGAGGCTGGTTTCGAGAGGTTGATTTACCAAGGCGTTCATGGTGGATGTGGTGAGGAAAAGCTCGAGAACTTGACTGAATTTGGTGGTCTTGTACCCTAGTTATATAGTAAGGTACGACCTTCGCGACATTATGGGGAATGGGTTGAATGTAAATCACTGCACGATATTTTGATCATAATTAACTCTCGCACCAAATATTTACTACTCGCGTCTTTGAATTAAAAAAAAAATGCTTTTCCGTTTTTACGTTTCCAGGTTAACCTGGAATAATACGCAATAAAACTTTTATTAGCATCTTTGCAATAATTTTGAAGATACAAAATTTCAAAGTTCCGGATTTGACAGTGTCGATAGAGATCACCAAGGTGAAATTTGTAGAATGCATTTCAGATTTACTATTTTTCAGGCAGATGCCAATTTATCTTTTCATTCCAAAATTAATCTCTCAGTGAATTTTTCTATAGTTTTGGAACTGTTGGTCTGGAAATTTTATTCCTACTGCAAGTTATAATTTTGTCGTGGAAGTGTAAAACAGTCTCCTAATATGAATAAATAAATTGTTTATGATTCGCATACATTTTTATTACTTCTTAAATATTATTATCCAAACGACATATACTTAGTGTACATTTTTATAAAATATTAAAATTTCCAATTTAATGTGTTTTAAAAATGTTTAGTGACGTCGATACGTGTAAGTGTTTTTAATTCCTTTTAACTTTTATTTTTAAAATTCGCCAGTTGTCTGTATAAGAATGTCGTGGTCGAGTTCGCGGTGTCACATCTTAAATCCGTCGATATGGGACCATGACGTCATGGGCAGATTATGCGTGGCTTTAAGTTAAAAACTACAAACTATAATTTTCAGTCATTTTTAGATTTTTTATTTTTTACAAACAACTTTAGTAGTAGATGGAGGGATGGACTAATGTCAAAATAGTTATTTATTATTTTAAACGGATAAGTTTCTTTTTTCAACAACCTATGTTCTATTAGTTCCCACTCCCATTCTACAGAAGAACCTGTAATTAAACCCCACCCATATTTTAGTGTTCAATTATTTACTCTAAATGTGGATCTTATACTAAACGAAATAAATTTAATCGTTAGACTGAGAAGAGGGGGTGGGCGGGGCTAGTATTTGCTAACATAAGACTAATTTTGGTTAATGACACATCCTCTAAGAAAATAATTGCTTAATAAAGACTCTGTACTTAAAAGTTAAAGTTAGCCCCGCCCACCCACCCGCTCTCTCATTTTTTTCTTCTGAAATAAGAAACAAAGCTTAGGGCAAATAGCATATCAAAAAAATTACGATTAGCGCATTTTTAACAGCCTACGTTCTATTAGTTCCTATTCGCACTCTACTAAAGGACATACAATTAATCCCGCCCACCCACCCCGCCTTCATTTCAGTCATTCATTTGATCTAATCCCAATGAAAGTTGAATCTCAGTTGACAATTGAATGAGAGCAGCGGGTGTGGACAAGGCTTGTACTTGCTAAGATGAGACTGATTTTGGTGAATTACATACCCTCTAAGAAAATTTATTTATTTATCCCCTCCAAAAAATTGATGACGTCAACTCAAAATTTTAACGAATAAATCCTATCCAAAATGTAAAAAACTGAATGCTTTGAAATCTTGCAGACGTTTTAAAGTCATTGTAAGCATGGTAAATTTTTGATCAAAATAACTCTGTTTATTCCTCCCAAAAAATTGATGACATCTCAAAATTTTGCGGAATACATTCTACCCAAAATGTGCAAAATATGATGAGTTTTTGCTTGTGATTAATCATTCCACTTATAATTTTTATTGATCAAATTAAGAACGAGTCACCCCATTTTCCCGATAATGTGAAAACACAGACGTCTTTATTTAATAAGAATTATAATAATGATATTCAGAACATTTACGTACAGTAATGGAGCCCATCGGGTAATTTAGTACTTTCATAATTTCTCGATATTTCATAACCCCGAGACAAGGCCGTAGCTAGGGGGAGGCTAGGGGATGCTGAGCCTCCCCTAGATCTAGATAAGTTATAATTAACCCAATGCGAATTACTATATCAAAAATCAAAATAAAATGTAGTGTTTCATTCAATAAGCGGAAATCAGACCAATAAAAAGTCTGGACCGTCGGCACTGTGTTCCGGTTATTGCAATTTGTAGAAAACATCTTTTAGTTTAGTTTCTGTTTCACTCTCACATCTACAGGTTGATAAGTGTTATCGCTATTTGTCTTAAAATGCGAATAACATAAATAATTTTCAGTTCAGTCTTCAGTCGCACCTCTGTTATTTATTACATACCGCAGACGTGATTAAATTGTTTCGTTATTGTACTGATTATAAATCACTATTCAAGAATAACAATACTACAATACTTTTACTATTAGTATTATAATGCATATATCCAAACTGATATTATGCGTCCTTGCAAAAATGTGGATGACATCAACACAAACTTTTGTAATAGAAAAATTCACTTGTAACAAACGGTTAGCAGATTTCTTCACCTTTATTCAAACATTAGATATACATTTTTATTTTATCTTATAATGGTTGCCATAAAAAACAGTAAAATTCGTAAAATCAAATCTTTTAATTATTCGAAAGAGCTGGATAAAAAATAAAACTCATGAGTGTGTCAGTCGGCGCTAATTAAGATTTAATTACCATGTTTATTAACATTAGCGCATTTCCTTGTTAGTAATTCTTTTTGACCCAAGCCTAATCTTGTATGTTCAATATTTTTTCCGAAAAGCAAATTTCTCATTAATTTTTTCCTAATATCACAACCATTTTAACCAGTATTATTATTCTTATGACTTTAAAACTTCATGAAAGTGAAATATATACACCAGGTGTCCCAAATTATAAATAAAATAAAAAAACTCAAGTAAAAATCACGTGTCATTTATTGACGTTAAACCTCTAAATAAATAATCTAGAAAAATATACAGATTCTCAACGCAGAGGAGGCAGTTGTTGTACATGGAAACGACACTTCAAACAGCGCCGCCCTAGATCCATCCAGACCCATTAAATTTACCAACCATGACCCCAGGCCCCATGACCGGCCCAACCGCCATGTCCCCCGGTGAGTCCCACATTGGCGGTGGGTCCCCAGAGCCCATCAGCGACAACTTTTCCAGCGGGTCCGGAGACGACGACGGGGGCCGTTGGGGGTCCACGGACGGCAGCCCCATGAGCGCTAACTCCAATGGTGCCTCCTCCATTGGTGACAACACCGGCTCCATGTCCCAGTCCTACTCCCAATCCAAGTCCGTGTCCCAAACCAAGTCCGTGTCCCAATCCGAGTCCAAGTCCTACGGCGGGAGCGGCTACTACGGCGGGGGCGGCGACGACGGCTCCATGTCCAAGACCCAATCCCAAGCCCAAGCCTAGACCGTGGCCGACGCCGACGGGGCCGATGGCGCCGTGGTTAGTGACGACGCCTGAGGGGCCGGTCACGACGGCGGCTCCGTCGATTCCACCGTGGATGCCGGAGGGGGCGGCGGCGGCGAGGGCGGCGAAGGCGGCCAGGGAGACGACGTACTGCAAGAGAAGGGTTAGCTGAGGTTGGCTGCGAGGTGTTGGTTTACCAAGGCGTTCATGGTGGATGTGGTGAGGAAAAGCTCGAGAACTTGACTGAATTTAGCGATCTTTTACCCTAGTTATATAGTAAGGTACGACCTTCGCGACATTAAGGAGAATGGGTTGAATGCAAATGGTTGCAATTTTTGATAATAATTAATTTTCGCACCATGTATTTACTGCTTGCGTTATTGATACCGTTTTTGAATAAAAAAAAAATGCGTTTCCAGGTTAAGCTATATGTTTCAAGTGAGATTTACTCAATAAAACTTTTATTAGCATCTTCGCAATAATTTTGAAGATACAAAACTTCAAAATTCTCGATTTGACACTATCAGTTGAGATAACCAAGGTGAAATTTGTAGAATGCATTTTAGATTTACTATTTTCCAGGCAGGTGTCAATTTATCTCTGCATTCTAAATTTAATCTCTTAGTGGCTTTTTCTACAGTTTAGGAACTGTTGGGTCTGCATATTTTATTTCTACTTCAAGTTAAAATTTCCTTGTGAAAGTGATAAAACAGACCTCTGTTACGAATAAATATACTTTTTAGGGTTTTCAGATTTGCATACAGATTTAGATTCAACAATTTTATTACTTTTTAAATATTATTGTTTAAACGACATGTACTTAGTGTACATTTTTATAAAATATTAAAATTTTCAATCAAATGTGTTTTTAAAATGTTTAGAGTCGTCGACAGATGTGAATGTTTTTAATTCCTCTTAGCTTTTATTTTTAAAATACGTAAGTCGTGTGCATGAGAATTTCTTAGTCGAGTTCGCAGTCCCACATCTCAAATTGGTCGTTACGTCGCTATGACGTCATGGGCAGATTTTGCATGACTTTAATTTAAAAACTAAAACCATGATTTTCATTGCCGTTTTTAGATTTTTTTTGTACAAATAACTTTAATACATAGTATAACGAAAACAAAATTAAAAAAAACGTGTGAATATATTTATAATTAAACTTAAGATGAAGATAAACCTGAGCTAGATTAATTTGGAAGTAGTTATTTATTTTTCTTAAAAGTACAAGTTTGAAGCTATGTTTTTAAATTTTCTACGGAATTGCTCACGTATCGTCTATAGAAAAATGATTATCGAAGAAATGAGAAAGCAAGTAACTACTGGACATCTAAATCTACAAGAAAATGTCTATAAGTAAGTTTGGAAAGTGGTTGAAAAAAAGGTGGAAATTTTCAAACCGGGGAATCGGGAAAAATTTTTGCTTTTTAAATGTACAACAAAATTTTGAAAATATGTTCTGAATTGCTTATACAGGATGTCCCAAGAATATATATATACATTAATAATATTGAACTTTTTTTGATACTTATAAACATTATATTTAATTGAAATATATTTGCTAAAAAATAAAACTCAGGAGTGAGTCAATCGGCGCTAATTAAGATTTAATTACCATGTTTACTAACATTAGCGCATTTCCTCGTTATTAATTCATTTTTAACCCAAGGCTAATCTTGTTTGTTCAAGATTTTTTCCGAAAAGGAACTTTCTCATAATTTTTTTCGTACACAGACATTTTCACAGTAATATTATCATTATGATTTTAAAACTTCAGCAAAGTAAAATAAAATAAGAAAACTCAAGTAAAAATCACGTGTCATTTATTGACGTTAAACCTCTAAATAAATAATCTACAAAAATATACAGATTCTAAACACAGAGGAGGCAGTTGTTGTACATGGAAACGACACCGCAAGCAGCGCCGCCCTAGATCCGTCCAGATCCATTAAATTTACCAACCATGACCCCAGGCCCCATGACCGGCCCAACCGCCATGTCCCCCGGTGAGTCCCACATTGGCGGTGGGTCCCCAGAGCCCATCAGCGACAACTTTTCCAGCGGGTCCAGAGACGACGACGGGGGCGGTTGGGGGTCCACGGACGGCAGCTCCATGAGCGCTAACTCCAATGGTGCCTCCTCCATTGGTGACAACACCGGCGCCATGTCCCAATCCCACTCCCAATCCAAGTCCGTGTCCCAGTCCGAGTCCAAGTCCTACGGCGGGGGCGGCGACGACGGCTCCATGGCCCAAACCATATCCCAAGCCCAAGCCCAAGCCTAGACCGTGGCCGACGCCGACGGGGCCGATGGCGCCATGGTTAGTGACGACGCCGGAGGGGCCGGTCACGACGGCGGCTCCGTCGATTCCGCCGTGGATGCCGGAGGGGGCGGCGGCGGCGAGGGCGGCGAAGGCGGCGAGAGAGACGACGTACTGCAAGAGAAGGGTTAGTTAAGGTTGATTGCGAGAGGTCGATTTACCAAGGCGTTCATGGTGGATGTGGTGAAGAAAAGCTCGAGAACTTGACTGCATTTAGCGGTCTTTTACCCTAGTTTATATAGTAAGGTACGACCTTCGCGACATTAAGGGGAATGGGTTGATTGTTAAATCGCTGGTAAAGTGTAATAATTTGTAAAATTTTAGTTTGTTGTTTACGTGGTGATTATTGTGCTGTTTATGCAAATGGGTGATTAGTATCGCGTTGGTACTTTTACTTTGTTTAGTTATGGGTCTTGGTGAGATTGATGCGAGATGGAGGATCGGGATTTCGGCAGGACAAAGGATGCGTATCATGGATTTAAAAAAAATACACTTTTACTTTTGTGCTTTATGTAAATTCATAATTTAATTAAATTTGCAATAAACAGTCTTTCCGATTGTAGTAAATACATCTGATAAGATTTTTGGCTTAATAATTACTTTTAAAACTGTGCTACTTTGGTTTGTTAATTAATAATTATTTATTAAAGAGAAATATATATATATTTTTTCACCAATTAAGTAAAGGAAAAAGTGACATAATAACAAGTATCTACTCTTAAAAAAGGAGTTTTCAAAATAATTAATAATTTTAGTTTCTCATTAAACATTTGATGACGTCATTTCAAAATTTTGCCAAGTAAATCATATTTAAAGTGTGCAAAGAGTGTCTTTCTGAACCGGTTGTTTTTTATTTTTAACTTACGATTATAGATTAAAATAAATAAATAATTAAAATTGTACCACAAGATAGTAAATCGATAATCAGAATATTTATCTCTTTCAAGATTTCGATGAGATCATCTCAAAATCTGTAGTTTCTTAATTAACTTTTTTTTTATAATATTTCATGCTGAACTAAATTAAAAATGACTTCGTCTTATTAAAACATACAGGTTTTTTCACTCACTTCTTCCAAACTATTAATGACGTCATATTAAGTAGATCTGCTTTGAAATGTTAAAAATTAATGTATTTACGTAAATTATTTAAAAATTTATAATATTTATTCACTCAAATTTGAAACTAATGCTGTATAGAACTCTAAGACTTGTTTGTATTTTATAAGAAAAATTAGACACAAAATAAATACTGAAAAAAGAAGAAGGAAGAAGTAAGTGTGTACAGAAAAATTCAAAATATATTCAGATCGCCGTGAATAAAACTAAACGATTTATTTCTCAGTAACTCAAATTTACACGACTAATTACACAGCGATTATGTGCAAAACCATTCTGAAGCAACTTGACTGAACTCTGTCTCAACATTCAGCCCAAGGCGGGCTATATTTAAATCCATACATTCCTCTGGATAGTTCGCGAACGCCGCTTCGAGATTTTTGTGGACCCTGCCATCGAGATGAGTCATCCATCATCGCCACACGTACTAGAAAACCCATAGACGTCGTACCGGGGCGGCATAACGGTTTATTTCGTAACAATGTGTTATAACTTTCATAGTAAGCTTAATACTTTGGAGTAGACAATATAGATACAACACAAAGAACGATTGCCAATACCAACCACCATATATAGTCAAAAGAAAAAAACAAGTATGTAATATGAAAAGCACGTATAATTTATTCACAATAATTTAAAAATATAATAAATAATTACAAAAATATACAAGCTATCCTACATAATCGAGGCAGATGTTATCACCGAGAAGTCCAAAGTTCCATCCTTTACCAGCCTTTACCATAACCACCGACGGTGATGCCGCCGAGTCCATGTCCAAGACCGGCGGCGAAAGCGTGAGCGCCGTAGGCCGAACCGCCAAGGTAACCACCAGCCAGAGCGGGAGTGGCAATAACGGGGGCGGCAACAGCCACAGGAGTTGCGTAGGCGTGGGCTGCGAGGGCATGAGCTGCACCGATTTGGGCAGCCAGAGTGTTAGCTGCAACAGCACGAGCGCTGGCGGCGGCGTTAGCTTGAACAGAAACAGCGTTGGCGGCGGCGTTAGCTGCAGAAGTACGAGCGTTGGCGTCAGCGATGGCGTTGGTAGCAGCGACGTTGGCGGCGATATTGGTGGCGGCAACGGCTTTGGTGGCAGCGGCATTAGCAGCGGCAGCGTTAGCGGCGGCAATGTTGGCGGCGACGCTGTTGGCGGCGATGTTGTGGGCGGCGACAGCGTTAGCGGCAATGGCGTTGGCGGCCAAAGCATTAGCGGCGATGGCTCCGCCGTGACCTAGTCCGGTACCAACGAGGCCGGTGTAGCCGATGGGGCCGGAGACCAGAGCGCCGATGCCGTGGATGCTGGAGGCGGCGGTGAGGGCGGCCAAAGAGGCGAAGGCGACGACAAACTGAAATTTTATTTTTGTGTTAGGAGTAGTTGAGATGATTTAAGATTTTTGGTATTACCAAGGTGTTCATGTTGCTGTGAAGTAAAGCTGGAGAACTTGACTGGTTTAAGCGGTCTTTTACCCCAGCTTATATAGATGGAAACGACCTTGCAACGTTAAGGAATCGATCGGGTGAAAAATGGTTTAAATTACAGGTTTTTAGTTTAGTTACGATATGTCGGAAATGTACCGCTAACGCAACGGTAGCCTGTGGTGAAAAAAATTGATATAATATGAGCTGAGACGCTGAGAAAGAATATTTTTTATACCTACTTAACTGAAGTTTTAAATGAATTCTTATTTAAAACTTGTTGCTTATCAAAATTATGAATTTTCTAAAAAATGGCATTTCATTAATTGACTGTGTTTCACAGACATGGCAATTTCTGTCCAAATAACGTTACAGAAATTTGTTAAATAATAATTTGTCTGTCCGTAAAATCTAGAATAAATTAACGAAAAAAAAACGAAAACATTTTTACAAAAATTGTGAAACAAAAAAAATCGATTTTTCTCATCTCCTATAAAAGAATGTAATTTAAGTATTACGATTTTAATACAAAAAAATCTGTAAAATTGACATTTTCAAGCACAATATAAACTGTAAGTTAAATCTAAGCAAATTACTCCAAAATAATCTCCTTCAATTCTCCTAATTTTACTAATTAGACATTACATACATCGTAGTATCAGCAAGAAAAATGCTGATTTCCCATCCAATCTTCTATCTCCTTATGAGAATTTTGTTTAAAAAATAACCTTCGAAAGTATTATACTCCTGCATTTTAATCTAAGGTCTTAAATGTAATTTAAGATTAATGTCAATATCGTTACACGTTAACCACAAATTTTCTACTCACTCCTTCCAAACGAATGATGACGTCATATTAGGTAGAATTGCCTTGAAATGTGAAAAGTCAGATGCTCCTTTCACTGTGATTTAATAATCCACAATTATGCAATTAATTTTTGAACTTTATGAAATTTTCAAAAATTCTTATAGAAATTTTATAAAATATTTACTCTAAGTGCGATATTGTACGTGCCTGTAATCTTGGAATTGCCATAAGGTACTTTAAAACTCCATGAAGGTGGTTTTAAAGTTGCAGAACAAAAACTCGGATTTATTTAGTCGTTCCCTGCAAAAAAATATGACGCCATATATGTACCTACTTAAAAAGGCAGATATAATATTAATCTTCGCTTTGATTTAATTTAATGATTAAAATAAGACACAAAATAAGTATTAAATAAAATCTTGATGGACGAAGTTTGTGTACAGAAAAATGAAAAAATTAATTCATATCATAGAAAATATATATATCGTAGACTGGTCGACTGAACTGACTCAATCGTCCCCGAAGGCCGGCTATATTTAAACCTATACATTCCTCTGGATAGCTCGCGAACGCCGCTTCGAGATTTTTCTGGACCCCACAATCGAGATGAGTCACCCATCATCGCCACACGTATTAGAAAACCCATAGACGTCGTACCGGGGCGGCATAACGGTTTATTTCGTAACAATGTGTTATAACTTTCATAGTAAGCTTAATACTTTGGAGTAGACAATATAGATACAACACAAAGAACGATTGCCAATACCAACCACCATATATAGTCAAAAGAAAAAAACAAGTATGTAATATGAAAAGCACGTATAATTTATTCACAATAATTTAAAAATATAATAAATAATTACAAAAATATACAAGCTATCCTACATAATCGAGGCAGATGTTATCACCGAGAAGTCCAAAGTTCCATCCTTTACCAGCCTTTACCATAACCACCGACGGTGATGCCGCCGAGTCCATGTCCAAGACCGGCGGCGAAAGCGTGAGCGCCGTAGGCCGAACCGCCAAGGTAACCACCAGCCAGAGCGGGAGCGGCAATAACGGGGGCGGCAACAGCCACAGGAGCGGCGTAGGCGTGGGCTGCGAGGGCGTTAGCTGCACCGATTTGGGCAGCCAGAGTGTTAGCTGCAATAGCACGAGCGCTGGCGGCGGCGTTAGCTTGAACAGAAACAGCGTTGGCGGCCGCGTTAGCTGCAGAAGTACGAGCGTTGGCGTCAGCGATGGCCTTGGTCGCAGCGACGTTGGCGGCGATATTGGTGGCGGCAACGGCTTTGGTGGCAGCGGCGTTAGCAAAGGCAGCGTTAGCGGCGGCAATGTTGGCGGCGACGCTGTTGGCGGCGATGTTGTGGGCGGCGACAGCGTTAGCGGCAATGGCGTTGGCGGCCAAAGCATTAGCGGCGATGGCTCCGCCGTGACCTAGTCCGGTACCAACGAGGCCGGTGTAGCCGATGGGGCCGGAGACCAGGGCGCCGATGCCGTGGATGCTGGAGGCGGCGGTGAGGGCGGCCAAAGAGGCGAAGGCGACGACAAACTGAAATTTTATTTTTGTGTTAGGAGTAGTTGAGATGATTTAAGATTTTTGGTATTACCAAGGTGTTCATGTTGCTGTGAAGTAAAGCTGGAGAACTTGACTGGTTTAAGCGGTCTTTTACCCCAGCTTATATAGATGGAAACGACCTTGCAACGTTAAGGAATCGATCGGGTGAAAAATGGTTTAAATTACAGGTTTTTAGTTTAGTTACGATATGTCGGAAATGTACCGCTAACGCAACGGTAGCCTGTGGTGAAAAAAATTGATATAATATGAGCTGAGACGCTGAGAAAGAATATTTTTTATACCTACTTAACTGAAGTTTTAAATGAATTCTGATTTAAAACTTGTTGCTTATCAAAATTATGAATTTTCTAAAAAATGGCATTTCTTCAATTGACTGTGTTTCACAGACATGACCATTTCTGTCCAAATAACGTTACAGAAATTTGTTAAATAATAATTTGTCTGTCCGTAAAATCTAGAATAAATTAACGAAAAAAAAACGAACGCATTTTTACAAAAAATGTGAAACAAAAAAAAATCGATTTTTCTCATCTCCTATCATAGAATGTAATTTAAGTATTACGATTTTAATACAAAAAAATCTGTAAAATTGACATTTTCAAGCACAATAAAAACTGTAAGTTAAATCTAAGCAAATTACTCCAAAATAATCTCCTTCAATTCTCCTAATTTTACTAATTAGACATTACATACATTGTAGTATCAGCAACGAAGATGCTGATTTCCCATCCAATCTTCTATCTCCTTTTCTCCTTATGAGAATTTTGTTTAAAAAATAAGCTTCGAAAGTACTATACTCCTACATTTTAATCTAAGGTCTTAAATGTAATTTAAGATTAATGTCAATATCGTTACACGTTAACAACAAATTTTCTACTCACTCCTTCCAAACGACTGATGACGTCATATTAGGTAGAATTGCCTTGAAATGTGAAAAGTCAGATGCTCTTTCACTATGATTTAATAATCCACAATTATGCAATTAATTTTTGAATTTTATGAAATTTTCAAAAATTCTTATAGAAATTTTATAAAGTATTCACTCTAAGTGCGATATTGTACGTGCCTGTAATCTCGGAATTGTCATAAGGTACTTTAAAACTCCATGAAGGTGGTTTTGAAGTTGCAGAACAAAAACTCGGATTTATATAGTCGGCCCCTGCAAAAAAATATGACGCCATATACGTACCTACTTAAAAAAGCAGATAATATAATATTTATCTTCGCTTTAATTTAATTCAATGATTAAAATAAGACACAAAATAAGTATTAAATAAAATCTTGATGGACGAAGTTTGTGTACAGAAAAATGAAAAAATTAACTCATATCATAAAAAATATATATATCGTGGACTGGTTGACTGAACTGACTCAAACGTCCCCGAAGGCGGGCTATATTTAAACCCATACATTCCTCTGGATAGCTCGCGAACGCCGCTCGGTTTATTTCGTAACAATGTGTTATAACTTTCATGGTAAGCTTAATACTTTGGAGTAGACGATATAGATACAACACAAAGAACGATTGCCACTACAAACCACCATATATAGTCAAAAGAAAAAAACAAGTATGTAATATGAAAATTACGTATAATTTATTCACAATAATTTAAAAATATAATAAATAATTACAAAAATATACAAGCTATCCTACATAATCGAGGCAGATGTTGTCACCGAGAAGTCCAACGTTCCATTCTTTACCAGCCTTTACCATAACCACCGACGGTGATGCCGCCGAGTCCATGTCCAAGACCGGCGGCAATAGCGTGAGCGGCGTAGGCCGAACCGCCAAGGTAACCGCCAGCCAGAGCGGGAGCGGCAATAACGGGGGCGGCAACAGCCACAGGAGCGGCGTAGGCGTGGGCTGCGAGGGCGTTAGCTGCACCGATTTGGGCAGCCAGAGTGTTAGCTGCAATAGCACGAGCGCTGGCGGCGGCGTTAGCTTGAACAGAAACAGCGTTGGCGGCGGCGTTAGCTGCAGAAGTACGAGCGTTGGCGTCAGCGATGGCGTTGGTAGCAGCGACGTTGGCGGCGATATTGGTGGCGGCAACGGCTTTGGTGGCAGCGGCATTAGCAGCGGCAGCGTTGGCGGCGGCAGCGTTAGCGGCGACGCTGTTGGCGGCGATGGCGTTAGCCGCAACGGCACGAGCGTTGGCGGCGGCGATGGCGTTCGCTGCGGCGGCGTTGGCGGCGATGTTGTGGGCGGCCAGAGCATTAGCGGCGATGGCTCCTCCGTGGACTAGTCCGGTACCAGCGAGGCCGGTGTAGCCGATGGGGCCGGAGACCAGGGCTCCGATGCCGTGGATGCTGGAGGCGGCGGTGAGGGCGGCCAAGGAGGCGAAGGCGACGACAAACTGAAATTTCATTTTTGTGTTACGTGTAGTTGAGATAATTTGAGATTTCTGGTATTACCAAGGTGTTCATGTTGCTGTGAAGTAAAGCTGGAGAACTTGACTGGTTTAAACGGTCTTTTACCCCAGCTTATATAGTTGGAAACGACCTTGCATCGTTAAGGAATCGATCGGGTGAAAAATGGTTTAAATTATAGGTTTTTAGTTTAGTTATGATATGTCGGAAATGTACCGCTAATGCAACGGTAGCCTGTGGTGAAAAAAATTGATATAATATGCGCTGAGACGCTGAGAAAGAATATTTTTTATACCGAAGTGAAGTTTAAAATGAATTTTGATTTAAAACTTGTTGCTTATTAAAATTATGAATTTTCTAAAAAATGGCATTTCTTTAATTGATTGTGTTTCACAGACATGGCAATCTCTGTCCAAATAACGTTACAGAAATTTGTTAAATAATAATTTGTGTGTCCGTAAAATCTAGAATAAATTAACGGAAAAAAACGAACACATTTTTACAAAAATTGTGAAACAAAAAAAATCGATTTTTCTCATCTCCTATCATAGATAGTTATTTATATATCAAGCGCCGAAAATGAGACTTTGCATCCGAGCGTATTTGTAGCGCAAGAGCGAAGCTCGAGCGCCACAAAAGCCCGAGGATTGCAAAGCCGTTTCGGCGTGAGATATATACAACATTTTTTGTGCTGCTTTTTATAAAAATGTTATTTAAGTATTACGATTTTAATACAAAAAATCTGTAAAACTGACATTTTCAAGCACAACAAAGACTGTAAGTTAAATCTAAGCGAATTACTGCAAAAGAATCTTCTTCAATTCTCCTAATTTTACTAATTTGACATTTCATACATCGTAGTATCAGCAACCAAAATGCTGGTTTTCCCATCCCATCTTCTATCTCCTTATGAGAATTTTGTTTAAAAAATAACCTTCGAAAGTATTATATTTTAATCTAAGGTCTTAAACGTAATAGCGTTACAGGTTGAGTACAAATTTTCCAATCACTCCTTCCAAACGAATGATGACGTCCTATTAGATAGAATTGCCTTGAAATGTGGAAAGTCAGATGCTCCTTTCACAATGATTTAATAATCCAAAATTGTGCAATTAATTTTTGAATTTTATGAAATTATCAAAAATTCTTATAGAAATTTTATAAAATATTCACTCTAAGTGCGATATTGTTTGTGTACGTGCCTGTAATCTCGGAATTGCCATAAGGGACTTTAAAACTCTATGAAAGTGGTTTGAAGGTTGCAGAACAAAAACTCGGATTTATTTAGTCGTCCCCTGCAAAAAAATATGACGCCATATATGTACTTAAAAATGCAGATATAATATAAATCTTCGCACTGATTTAATTTTATGATTAAAATAAGGCACAAAATAAGTATTAAAATAAAATTTTGATGGACGAAGTTTGTGTACAGAAAAATGAAAAATAAACTAAGATCACAGAAAAAATTATGTGCATGTATATGTATATCGTAGCAAGCTTTATAATTTTGCTGTGGACAATATATTTCCAAGAGAAAGAACGATTGCCACAACAAAGCAACATATGTAGTTTAAAAAAAAAAGAAGTATGTAATATGAAAATTACGTATAATTTATTCACAATAATTTAAAAATATAATAAATAAATACAAAAATATACAAGCTATCCTACATAATAGAGGCAGATGTTGTCACCAAGAAGTCCAAAGTTCGATCCTTTACCAGCCTTTGCCGTAACCACCGACAGTGATGCCACCGAGTCCATGTCCAAGACCGGCGGCAATAGCGCGAGCGGCATAGGCCGAACCGCCAAGGTAACCACCAGCCAGAGCGGGAGCGGCAATAACGGGGGCGGCAACAGCCACAGGAGCGGCGTAGGCGCGGGCTGCAAGGGCGTTAGCTGCACCGACCTGTGCAGCCAGAGTGTTAGCTGCAACAGCTTGAGCGCCGGCGGCTGCGTTAGCTTGAACAGAAACAGCGTTAGCGGCAGCATTAGCTGCAGAAGTACGAGCGTTGGCGTTAGCGATGGCGTTGGTAGCAGCGACGTTGGCGGCGATATTAGTGGCGGCGATATCTCTGGTGGCAGCAGCGTTGGCGGCGGCAGCGTTGGCGGCGGCAACGTTGGCGGCTACGCTGTTGGCGGCGATGGCGTTAGCCGCAACGGCACGAGCGTTGGCGGCAGCGATGGCGTTCGCTGCGGCGGCGTTAGCGGCGATGTTGTTGGCGGCGATGGCGTTGGCGGCGATGTTGTTGGCGGCGATGGCGTTGGCGGCGATGGAGTTGGCGGCCAAAGCGTTAGCGGCGATAGCTCCTCCGTGGACTAGTCCGGCACCACCGAGGCCGGCGAGACCGATGGGACCGGAGACTAGGGCGCCGATGCCGTGGATGCCGGAGGCGGCGGTGAGGGCTGCCAAGGAGGCGAAGGCGACGACAAACTGAAATTTTATTTTTATGTTAGAAGTAGTTGAGATGATTTGAGGTTTTTGATATTACCAAGGTGTTCATGTTGCTGTGAAGTAAAGCTGGAGAACTTGACTGGCTTAAACGGTCTTTTACCCCAGCTTATATAGTTGAAAACGACCTTGCATCGTTAAGGAATCGATCTTGTGAAAAATGGTTTAAATTATAGGTTTTTACTTATAATATGTGGGAAATGTACCGTTAACACAACGGTAGCCTGTGGTGAAAAAAATTGATATAATATGCGCTGAGACGGTGAGAAAGAATATTTTTTATGAGTGAAGTTTTAAATGAATTCTTAATTAAAACTTATCTTAGCTTATCGAAATTATAAATTTTTCAAAAAACGGCATTTCTTTAATCGATTGTGTTTCACAGCCATGGCAACTTCTGTCTAAATAACCTTACAAAATTTTATTAAATAATAATTTGTCTCTCCGTAAAATCTAGGAATAAATTAATAGAAAAAAAAAACGATTTTTCTCATCTCCTACCATAGAATGTAAATTAAGTATTACGATTTTAAATATTACAAAAAACTTGTATAATTGACATTTTCAAGCACAACAAAGACTGTGAGTTAAATCTAAACAAATTACTCCAAAAGAATCTCCTTCAATTCTGGCTAATTTTACTTATTTGACATTTCATACATCGTAGTATCAGCAACGAAAATGCTGATTTCCCATCCCATCTTCTATCTCCTTACGGAACTGTGTTCAAAAAATAACCTTCGAAACTATTATACATTTTAATCTAAGGTCTTAAATGTAATTTAAGATTAATGTCAATATCGTTACACGTTGACCACAAATTTTCCTCTCACTCCTTCCAAAGGATTGATGACGTCATATTAAGTAGAACTGCCTTGAACTGAAATGCGAAAAGTCACAAGCTCCTTTCACTATGATTTAATAATCCACAATTATGCAATTAATTTTGAAATTTTAAAGAATTTTTAAAGACATTCTATGAAGTATTCATTCTAAGTGTGATATTGCTTGTGTACGTGCTTGTAATTTCGGAATTGCCATAAAGGTCTACAGAAGCCTAACATTAGTTTGAAGGTTGCAGAACAAAAACTCGAATTTATTTACTCGTCGTCTGGAAAAATATTACGCAAAGTATATAAGTATAATATAAATCTTCGCATTCATTTAATTTTATGATAAAAAAAATTAATATGGAATAAAATATTGATGGACGAAGTTTGCACAGAAAAATGAAAAAAATAAACTCAGATCGTAGAAAAAAATATGACATGTATAGATCGTAGCAAGCTTGATAATTTTGCAGTGACCAATATATGACAACAGAAAGAACTATTGCCACAACAAACCACCATATATAGGTAGTCAAAAGACAAAAAAACAACTATATAATATGAAAATCACGTATCATTTATTCACAATTAAAAAGTATAATAAATAAGTACAAAAATATACAAACAGTCCTACATAAAACGAGGCAGATGTTGTCACCAAGAAGCCAAAACCCTCAATCCGTCAAGTTCCAGGCTTTACCACCCTTTACCATGACCACCAGTAAGTCCCACAATGGCCGTAGGTCCCCAGAGCCCATCAGCGGCAACTTTCCCAGCGGGTCCAGACACCACCACTGGGGCAGTGGGGGGTCCGCGTACAGTAGCCCCTCCGGCGCTAACTCCAATGGTGCCACCCCCGGCGGTAACGGCACCGAGTCCATGTCCAACAGCGAGAGCGGGGGCGGCAATAGCGGGACCACCAATGTAAGCGCCAGCCAGAGCGGGGGCGGCAGCAATGGCATTAGCTGCAGCGACACGAGCGGCCACAGCGTTAGCTGCAATAGCACGAGCGTTAGCGGCGGCGATGGTGTTAGCTGCAACAGCACGAGCGTTAGCGGCAGCGATAGCGTTAGCGGCGGCAGCGTTGGCTGCGATGTTGTTGGCAGCGACGGCGTTGGCGGCGACGGCGTTGGCGGCGATGGCGTTGGCGGCGATGGCGTTAGCGGCGATGGCGCCTCCGTGGACTAAACCGGCGCCACCGAGTACTCCTCCGTGGATTAACCCGACACCAGCGGGGCCCGTGGGCCCGATGGGGCCGGCATTAGTTACTACGCCAGCGGGGCCGGTGACCACAGCGCCGCCGATGCCGTGGATGCCGGAGGCGGCGGTGAGAGCCGCCAGGGAGGCGAGGGTGACGACAAACTGAAATTTGATTTTTGGGTTAGGGGTATTTGACATTTCAGGTTTTTGATGTTACCAAGGTGTTCATGGTGCTGTGAAGTAAAGCTCGACAACTTGACTGGTACAAATGGTCTTTTACCCCAGCTTATATAGAAGGAAACGACCTTGCGACATTAAGGATTTGATCGGGTGAAAAATGTTTAAATTATACGTTTTTGCTTTTCATATGTGGGAATTGTGTTCTAGGTATTATACCGTTAACGCGGCAGCATGTGGTGAAAAAAGTTGATATGATATGCGCTGGGAGGGAATAATTTTTTTAAGAATGAAGTTTTAAATTAATTCTGAGTTAAAACTCGTTTGCGTATGCAAGATTTATAAATAGTGGATAAAATAAATCTGATGTAACATTAAGTGGCTTGGAATAGGAAAGTTTGCAATAAAATTGGAAAATTACTATAAAAGCAAGAACATCGGAATTTTGGAATTTTAGTTAATATTAGGTGATCTTATAATCCAGTATTAGTGCATGCCAAAATTTTCAAGAAACCTGGTATAATAAACTCTTTAAGAGAGTATTACTCGGAGGAACTGTTAAGTCATTTTTAATGCGAGATCCAATTAACGAAAGTTTAAAATGACGTCACCAATTTTTCGAAGAGCATTACAGAGAAAATAATACAAAATTGTGGTTTGCTTTTAACAGCAGCCACGGATCAATTTGAAATCAGCGTCCTTCCATTCCATTTCTGAACCCTTCATTACAAGAAATAAATTTTCATGTGGGTGCAACAAAAACGTTTTTACAGTTATATTGCTTTTCTGACATTCTCAAGAACTAGTGCACTTATTCTCCCATAGATCTTTATTATTATTAAATTATGTAACCAGCTGTAGGTGAATGAAAGAGGGCGTTTTCATGCATAACTGGCCATATCTACCGAAGCGTGCACTACCTTATCCACAATAACACTTTTATATGTCACGCCCTTTAACTTTGATCCGGATTTTGAAAAAAAACTCCGTGCACTAGCGCTTATAAAATAATAAATAACGCAAAAGGACACGTCAGTTGTCCGCTCACGAAATTGCAGAAATCTTGCAAAATAATGATTCTGTATCTAGTTATACCACCCTATATCTCCGGCAACAATAATTTGTGGAATTTTTTTTCTACGTCAGAACGCGGCAACACGCCAAGACTCCGGTAGCTGCAATTATTCTCAGTCCAGAGATACATTAGCGAAAGTACGTTTGTTACCTTTAAAATATAAAATTCGCAATTACTGTATCGTTTATGGTTAAGGTCATTCGGTGTTCCCTGCAAGTATTTATTATAATGTGGAGGCGTAATCTATATCGCGGATTTATTTCATAAGTTGTTACCCATACTTACAATTAGAGACCATTGTTTTTCATTCATAATCAAAATAATTGCTGTCATTATATCGGCGCCCATTTTGCATGGATATGAGTGATTTAGAGCAAATAATTAAGTGCGATTTATATGTCAAGAAAATATTTTCACACGAGGCGGGAAAGGAAGTATGAGTAATATTTTTATAAGGCCGCAGATAATGTTTCTGAATAATTAAGACAAAGAGAGAATGGGCTTAATGCAAAAGTTCACCCATAAAGCAAATCCTTCTTTAAATTTAGAAAACGAATTCTTAAAACTGATGACAAACGCTTTTTTAAAACAGTTATATTAAGTAACGGTACTTCCTACAAATAACATAGGTTATTTTTTCCTTTCAAGAAATTCATGACGTCACCTCCATATGTAATAGTTGCTTAAATTAGAAGGTCACTAAAAACTGTTAATTCATCTCCTACAAAAAGTCGATGACGTCATTTTAAAAGATTAATAATCTTCTGGAAAAGACCCGTAGTAAAAAAAACTTCAGTTTCAGTCATTTTTATTTATTATATATCACGTATTAAATTAATACACATAAATAAGCATTTACAAAATACTCAAGCCGTCATAATTTAAGCACAAACATCAACTCCAAGAATTGATCTAAAAACCTCCTAATTTGTACATTTACCAATGTCCATAATGACCGTAGTGTGGTACTCCGTACAAGCCATCGGCTACGATTTTTCCAGAGGGACCAGCGATGACAGCTGGTACGGTGGCAGGCCCACGGACGGCGACCCCATGTCCAAGCCCGATTCCATGTCCAAGCCCGACCCCATGTCCATACCCGACGACTCCATGTCCAAGACCCAAACCTCCATATCCGTACCCAACACCCAGAGCTGGTGCGGCAACTACGGGAGCAGCAACCACAGCACCATGTCCATATCCTCCATAGCCCAATCCAAGTCCCAAACCTAACCCATGTCCGGCAGGTCCGATGGCTCCGTGCGGCGTGACCACTCCAGAAGGTCCAGCGACCACGACTCCGGTACCATGTCCGACGACTCCGGCGCTAACAGCGACAGCCAAAGCGGCGAAAACAGCTACAAACTGAAAATCAAGGTTACATTCTAGTCCGTATTTAGATCACAACCTTAGTACCATTTTTACAGCAGTACCACTAGTTGAGTAATGATAGTAATTATGTATGAAAATCGCATAAGGAATGCAACGAACCGTTACGGAAAGCGCTGAAAGCGCTGAAATTCGGTTGGGTACTTACCAAAGTGTTCATGGTGCTAATTGTGAAGAGCTGAAGAGTATGCGGTACTATCCTCTTACCCTGCTTTATATAGTAAAATTTGGCCTTCGGTGCGTAAAATCGTGGTTTCGTTAGAAAAATAGTTGGCTCATGGTACCACCTATGGCAACGGCGCGCCCTTCCTCAGTTTTTAATTCATTTTTTGCGATTCGCGCTGAACTCTTGCTCTGAAATCGTGCACTTATTGGATTATTTCTGTGTTATTTCGAACGTTGCACACACCCATTTTGGATATGCATTTATCGGAAACGTGCAACGTATCGGATTTTCAAAGAATAAGTTGCTTTGTTGTGATATTAAATTATGTAATGGTACGACATTGTAATTGGTACCGTTGGGTAATAATTATCTCGGTCTAGTACAATACGAATGACATTTATGCTGTTATTGGATTTGAATTGGTATGAATCGATTGATAAGCGTTCATTCATCGCTGAGTAGGATGGCACGTGGTACTGACACCTCCACGTCGCATCTTCTCATGAATGAGAAGAAAGGAATTATGAAGGCGGATTTACAACGCGACGTGATTGTAATTCAATTTATTGAAAACGGTTTTTCGGATCCATAATTTCGAAGATAACGGTACTTTTAGTACCTACTATACGTACGTTTTTTTTTCTTGCTTTCATGCATTATCTAATTCTAGATTATATCTGTTTTTTATTAATTGTGTGATGAAACGAAATATAATAGTTTTTTTTAATACGTTATATAGCTAATCTGCATTGTTAAAATTGTAAAGTATCACTTACGACACATAATTTTAAATAAATAGGTACTTAATTAACGATATATGCTAAACATCTTACTAATATTAAGTATATGTATTTTGTAACTGTAATTAGTTATTCTTGAGAAAGAAAAAACATGCGGAAGGTAAGGAGTGACTTTAGTTCGAACGATGTAGTTCTACTTTTTTTTTATTTGTCAACTCATATGTTGTAAATGCTCGTCTTCGCCTCGTGCTCTAATCCATATAATGTAAAAAATACTTTTCGTACTAAAAATTAATGATTGGAAATATTGCCATCTAGCTGGCGTATAATAAATTTGGTTACAATGGGATTTTGATTTAGCGTCGGAGAAAGTACACCTACTTAAAGCTGGGCACCCAAACAGACAAACGTCTCATTAAAAATCACCTACCTGTATTCTGAAAATATTATTTTTGTATGCAATAAAATTTGTGGTACTGTGTAATTTTTTTACGAGGGCCTCAATTCTCTCAATTACGAGCCTATATTTTGAACGAATGCTATCCAAAATCATTTTACAATCTAATTTTTTTTAGTATGTATTTTTTGGTGGGGATAAATATATTAATTCTGATATGTACAAGGCAGCACTGATCAAATTAATAGTGTGCCTCCAAATTTTCAAAAAAGGTAAGTTTTATAAAAATTAATAGCTCATTTTAACAAGAATTTTTCAGATTTCTTCGATGTTTGTTTACTATGACGTCATCGAATTTGAGAAGGAGATGAATACATACAGCTACTGTCTTTCGGGTCATATTCCAAAATAATTTTGTTCCCAGAGTATTATGAGTAGCCGAAACAAAAAATCAAAAACTTTAAAAATTGAAATATCGAAACCCAAAAGATCGAACAATCGAAACATCAAAAAATGGAAAAATTCAAATATAGAAAAGTTGGAAAATACAGAAATTGAAATACACCCAAAATTGAAATGTTGAAAAAATTGAGATCTCGAAAACTTGGAAAATCGAGAAATCTAAATATCGAAAAGTCGAAAAATTCTAAAGATCAAAAGACGGAGATGTCAAGAAATCGAATCAAAAAATCGTAAATTCAAAAAGTGTTCAATTAAAAAAATCGAACATTGAAAAATCAATAAACCGAAAAATCAAAAATTTAAACATCGAAAAATTGCAAAATCGAAAAGCCGAGAAGCGAAGAACCGAGAAAGTGAAAAATCGAAAAATTGAAAAATTCCAAAACTGAAATGAGGAAAAATTGGGAAATCGAAACATCGAAGAATTGAAAAACTGAAACAGAGAAACTAAACTTTAAAGATCGAGAAATCGAGAAATTGAAAATTCGAAAAATTGAAAAATTTAAAATTAAAAAAAAACGAAAAATTGAAAAATCGAGTAAATCAAAAAATTTTAAAATCGAAAAATTGAAGCATCAAAAAATTACAAAGTCGTAAAACTGAAACATCAAAATTGAAAAATTGAAAAATGAAAAAATTGGGAAATCGAAAATTACAAAATTGAAATGGCGAAAAGTCGAAAATTCGAAAAACCGAGAAATTAAAAAACCCAAAATTTAAAACGAAAAATTGAAAAATCAGAAAAATGAAGAACCGAAAAATTGAAAAATCGAAAAATTGAAATGACAAAAAATTGGGAAATCAAAACATCGAAAAATTGAAAAACTGGAACATTGGGAAACGAAATTTCAAAGATCTGGAAATCGAGAAATCGAAAATTCGAGAAGTTAAAAATTGAAATATTTTAAATAAAAAAAAATCTAGAAATTGAACAATCGAAAAATTGAAAATTGTAAAAATCAAAAAACCGAAAAACTGAAAAATCGAAAAATTGAAGAATCAAAAAATTAAAAAATCCTGAAACTAAAACATCGGAAAATTGACAAATCGACGAAAAAATCGGGAAACTGGAAATTTGAAGTATCGAGAAACTAAAGAATCGAAATATTGAAAAATTACAAAACTGAAATATCAGAAATTTGAAAAATCGAAGAGTAATTGAATAATCGAAAATTTGAAAAGTCAAGAAATCGAAACAAAAAATGAACAAATTGAAAATACGAAAAATCTAAACATAAGAAATCGAAAAATTGAAAAAATCCTAAAACAGAAACTTCGGTAAACTGAGAAACAAAAAAATTGAAAAATGGAAAAATCGAAGGCGAAAAATTGAAAATTTAAACAAACGAACAACTGAAAAATCAAAAACCTAAAAAATTCTAGGATTGAAAAATTAAAAAATTGAAAAATGAAGAGATCGAGAAGTCGAGAAATCGAAAAACCAAAATTCGATTAACCGAGAAATTGAGAAATCTAAAAATCGCAAATGTAGAAACGCCAAAATTGAATAATCGAAAAATTGAAAATCGAGAAACCGAGAAATTAAGAAATCAAAGAATCTATAAATAAAAAAATCTAAAATTTAAAAATCGAAAAACTGAAAAATTGAAAATTTAAACATCGAAAAATTACAAAATCGAAAAGCCGAAAAGTCGAAAAATCGAAAAATTCGAAATTTAGAATGAAAAATTGAAAAATCAACAAATTGAAGACTCAAAATTTAAAAATTAAAAATTAAAAAAAAAAACGATAAATCCAAAAATTGAAAAATCGAGAAATTGTACAGTCGAAAAATCGATATATTGAAATTTCAATAAATCGAGAAATGGCACAATTTAAAAATCTATAAACTGAAAAATCCTAAAATTTAAAAACCAAAAAACTGTAAAATCGAAAAATCAAAAATTGTAAAAATCAGAAAATTGAAAAACCGAACCATCTAAAACTGAAAAACTGAGTAAATCGAAAAATTTCAAAACAGAAATATCGCAGTCTGAAAATATCGAAATCCGAAAAGACGAAAAATCCAAAGATCGAAAAATCGAAAAATTAAAATATCAAAAAGTTGAAAAACACGGAAATTGAAAAACACCCGAAATTGAAATGTTGAAAAATTAAAAAATCTAAAACTTGAAAAATTGAGAAATCTAAAAATCAAAAAGTCGAAAAATTGGAAAAAATCGAAAAGCCGAGAAGTCAAGAAATCGAATCAAAAAATCGTAAAATCGAAAACTGTAAAATTTAAAAAACCAAACATTGAAAAATAAAAAATATAAACAACTGAAAAATAGAAATATCGAAGAACTAAAAAATCAATGCATAATTTAAAAATCTAAAATTTAAAAATCGAAAAACTGAAAAATCGATAAGTATTAAAAGTCGAAAAATCAAAAAATTGAAAAATCAAAAATTTAAACATTAAAAAATTACAAAATTGAAAAGTCAAAAAATCGAAAAATCGAGAAATTGGAAAATTCAAAATTTAAAATGAAAAAGTATAAAATCAGAAAATTGAAGAATGGAAAATCAGAAAAATCGAAAAACTGGGAAATCGAAACATCAAAAGATCGAAAAATCGAAAAATCGAGAAGTTAAAACTTAAAAACTTTAAAATTAAAAAAGCGATAAATCCAAAATCGAAAAATCGAGAAATTGGACAATCGAAGAATTGAAATACGAAAATCTCGATAAATCGAGAAATGAAAAAATTAAAAAATCGAAAAACTGAAAAATTGTAACATTTAATACATAACCGAAAAATTGAAAAATCGAAAAATCAAACATTATAAAAATCAGAAAATTCAAAAACCGAAATATCGAAACATCGAATAAATCGAAAGATTTAAAAATCGGAAAATTGAAAAATCAAAAAATTAAAAATTCGTAAAAATGAAACATCGGAAAGTTGAGAAATCGAAAGACGAAAAAATTGAGAAATCAAAATTTTGAAGTATCGAGAAGCTAAAGAATCGGAATATTGAAAAATTCCAAAACTGAAATATCGAAAATTTGAAAAATCGAAGAGTAGTCAATAAACAACAAAAAATCCAAACATTGAAAAATTGAAAAGTATAACATATAAAAATCGAAAAATGGAAAAGTCGAAAAAGTAAAAAATCGAGAATTTGGAAAATCGAAAAATAAAAAAGTCGAAGAATCGAAGAATTGAAACGTCCCAAAACTGAAATATCGAAAAATTGAACAATCCCAAAACTAAGAAATCGAAAAATTGAAAAATCGAGAAATCGAAAAATCAAAAAATCGAAGGCGAAAAATTGAAAATTTGAAGGATTGAAAAACTGAAAAATCGAAAAATCGAGAAATAGAGAAGTCGGAAAATCAAAAAACCCAAAAAATTCAAAAATCGCAAATTTAAAAACGCCAAAAATAAAAAAGTCGAAAAATTGAAGAATAAAAAACTGAAAAAATCCAAAACTGAAATACGAGAAAACCGAAAAATTGAAAGTTGAAAAATCGAGAAATCGAAAAATTCGAAATTTAGAATGAAAAATTGAAAAATCAACAAATTGAAGACTCAAAATTTAAAAATTAAAAATTAAAAAAAAAAACGATAAATCCAAAAATTGAAAAATCGAGAAATTGTACAGTCGAAAAATCGATATATTGAAATTTCAATAAATCGAGAAATGGCACAATTTAAAAATCTATAAACTGAAAAATCCTAAAATTTAAAAACCAAAAAACTGTAAAATCGAAAAATCAAAAATTGTAAAAATCAGAAAATTGAAAAACCGAACCATCTAAAACTGAAAAACTGAGTAAATCGAAAAATTTCAAAACAGAAATATCGCAGTCTGAAAATATCGAAATCCGAAAAGACGAAAAATCCAAAGATCGAAAAATCGAAAAATTAAAATATCAAAAAGTTGAAAAACACGGAAATTGAAAAACACCCGAAATTGAAATGTTGAAAAATTAAAAAATCTAAAACTTGAAAAATTGAGAAATCTAAAAATCAAAAAGTCGAAAAATTGGAAAAAATCGAAAAGCCGAGAAGTCAAGAAATCGAATCAAAAAATCGTAAAATCGAAAACTGTAAAATTTAAAAAACCAAACATTGAAAAATAAAAAATATAAACAACTGAAAAATAGAAATATCGAAGAACTAAAAAATCAATGCATAATTTAAAAATCTAAAATTTAAAAATCGAAAAACTGAAAAATCGATAAGTATTAAAAGTCGAAAAATCAAAAAATTGAAAAATCAAAAATTTAAACATTAAAAAATTACAAAATTGAAAAGTCAAAAAATCGAAAAATCGAGAAATTGGAAAATTCAAAATTTAAAATGAAAAAGTATAAAATCAGAAAATTGAAGAATGGAAAATCAGAAAAATCGAAAAACTGGGAAATCGAAACATCAAAAGATCGAAAAATCGAAAAATCGAGAAGTTAAAACTTAAAAACTTTAAAATTAAAAAAGCGATAAATCCAAAATCGAAAAATCGAGAAATTGGACAATCGAAGAATTGAAATACGAAAATCTCGATAAATCGAGAAATGAAAAAATTAAAAAATCGAAAAACTGAAAAATTGTAACATTTAATACATAACCGAAAAATTGAAAAATCGAAAAATCAAACATTATAAAAATCAGAAAATTCAAAAACCGAAATATCGAAACATCGAATAAATCGAAAGATTTAAAAATCGGAAAATTGAAAAATCAAAAAATTAAAAATTCGTAAAAATGAAACATCGGAAAGTTGAGAAATCGAAAGACGAAAAAATTGAGAAATCAAAATTTTGAAGTATCGAGAAGCTAAAGAATCGGAATATTGAAAAATTCCAAAACTGAAATATCGAAAATTTGAAAAATCGAAGAGTAGTCAATAAACAACAAAAAATCCAAACATTGAAAAATTGAAAAGTATAACATATAAAAATCGAAAAATGGAAAAGTCGAAAAAGTAAAAAATCGAGAATTTGGAAAATCGAAAAATAAAAAAGTCGAAGAATCGAAGAATTGAAACGTCCCAAAACTGAAATATCGAAAAATTGAACAATCCCAAAACTAAGAAATCGAAAAATTGAAAAATCGAGAAATCGAAAAATCAAAAAATCGAAGGCGAAAAATTGAAAATTTGAAGGATTGAAAAACTGAAAAATCGAAAAATCGAGAAATAGAGAAGTCGGAAAATCAAAAAACCCAAAAAATTCAAAAATCGCAAATTTAAAAACGCCAAAAATAAAAAAGTCGAAAAATTGAAGAATAAAAAACTGAAAAAATCCAAAACTGAAATACGAGAAAACCGAAAAATTGAAAGTTGAAAAATCGAGAAACCGAAAAAGTGAAAAATCGGACATTTAAAAAATTATTATATATCTACAATTTTGATTTATTTCCCAGAAATCTCGATGTCTAAGATAAAAGTTCAACAGGGATTCATAAACCACAAGCTCAGGACCACGTTACTTTTTAACATTTAATTAACAATTTATCAAGTTTCCGATAACCTTAAAACAATTGCAAGATTTCGAAGCTAAATTTCAAAATGTTATACAATTTTGATTTTTTTTCCAAAAATTTGTATGTCTGAGGTACAAAATCAACACGGATTGATAAACCACAAATGGAAGAAATTAGACAACAATCCGTCCGGTGGTTTCGGAGATTATCTGTCTAATAAAAAACCGGACATACGGAAACGGGAGGTCTACTTTTTCGTACTCCAGGAGTCATCAAACATCGAGAAAACGAACTTACGCTCGGGAAGTAAAAAGTACAAAAATGAGTATTCTTTATGGAGAGAGATTTTTGAACGTCTTGCCATTTTTTTTACTTTGTTAATAAACAATTTGTTGTTATTTTCATTTTAAATGTCTACCAAATGTTGCATCTACTTTCGCCCAGAAGTGTTCCAGTTACAAATAAATTTTCTGCAACACCATGTGACACGCAGATGCTAACTAAATTAAATTAAACGACAAGAATATATTATCTGAATCGAACTTCAGTGACAGCTTTTCAAGATAGTATCTCCTGATTAACTTAACCATATTTGTCAGTATCGTACAGTGTTAAGTTCGAATTTTGTAGTACCGAAGGTTACAGTCAATTTAACTGATTTGTAATTGTGCAGAACGTGCACTGTTATGGAGAATTTTAATGTAAATTGTAGTTTTTATGGCTCTCGCATATGAAATATGATTGAAATTGCGATTTTATAACGTGCAATTTAAACCACTGCAACATAAAATTTCAAAACTGGCTTCAAGATTGAATAGTGTTTGGGCAAAAATTTCAGAATATAGTGCACTAAAAAAAATCTAATTCACTTTCAGATAATCGGAAATGTTAAATCAAAATTTCAGACCGCCATAATAAAAATTTATGACTTGTCTCGTGTAATTAATTTCCCCATCAAATCACCAAATTGCTGTTGTAAATATTTTTCAGCAATTTGCAATCGGAAACATTTATGGCCATCCACCTTGTCACACTACAAATAACCCAAAAACAAAAAACAAGACACTAGAAACGCAATTTTTACACGAAATTAAGCAACTCGAAGAAAGTTATTTATGCAAAATTATTCGTCTGCGGACAGAACATCAACGAAAGTAAAACCAAAAACTTGCTCAGTGTCATTCCTCCAAGCCTCGGGCGCCAGTTCCAAAACAAAAAAACTGAGCCGCACCCGTCCATTAGAAAAGTTTGTTTACTTTACCCGTACGAACTTGATACTCATATTGAGTAACTACAAAAACCACCATGGTCATTACCACGCTCAATTCCGGTGTATCGCAACCATAATCAACCCAATTAAACAATAGAGTTCGAATTAGAGTTAGAATTCGGTTTCGAAAAGTCAGGTTATATAGTTATAACACCCTTAATCCTTTACTAAAGAAAATACAGTTACTAGTTTAAAATGCGTTCATTTATTAGTGGCGAAACAACAATACATATTTACACCCTAGAGCAACAACTACACCCTTCACCATCCCTTGAGGTAGGGTCCCGCAGCCAGGGCTGGCCCTACAGCAACCGTGGACACAGCGGGGGCCAAAATGGATTTTCCAATCAAGGGACCGCCCAAGCTGAGACCCAGAGGGCTAGCGTAGGCAGGGGCGGCGATGGCAGGCGCAATGGCGGGGGCGGCGATGAGCGACCTGCTGATGACGGGGGTGGCCAGACCCAAGGGGGCGATGGCAGGGGCGGCGACCGCGATGGACTTGGTGCCGATGAAGCTGGTGGCCACGGGGGCGGCTAGCGGGGCGCCGATGAGGCCGGCGTTGGCGGTGGCGACGGTGAGGGCGGCGACGATAACCTAATCGACAATTGTGATTTATTTTTGTTAAAAGAATGAGAAGTTATTCGATTGAAAGTGGAGGTCAGAGAGGGTTTTAGGCAAATGATTTTGCGTTATGATTTTTGTAAGTTTCCGGTGTGTGTGTTATTTAAATTGTTGATATAATTATTGTTTCTTTATTCGCCTTGGACTGGAGGTACTGCCGACAATGGGAGTCCGCGTGGTGTACGTTCACTTTGCATGAAAAAGTGCTATTGATTGTAAAGTTTGGAATTTGGTGTCGAGGGTTTTCAGTTTTTTTATTTTATTCTTAAGTTTGGAACAAAAAATGTTTTGTTGTGCAAATATCATATTTCATGTATGTAACTGTAATGATTGGAACTTTCCCTACATGAAAAATTTGCTGCGGCAACCCACAATTCACCAATTAAAGAAATAAATAAAATATTTTAAAAAAATACATCAAAAGAAAAACAATTTCTTTAGAAAATTTAGTGAATGCGACTTAAAAAAAATGCAGTAGTTCTAGTAACTGCAGTAAAGTAAAAGTTTCAAAATTTTGTTGTTTCGGTTTTTTGTTATTTAGTAAATATTGCAAATTGTGCTCTGTGCCTCCATCTATAACGAAAATGGCAAAGTACAATATTATATAATTTGAGGTATATTAAAAAAAAAGATAAATTCATAATAAATTTGACAAATACAGTACAATTAGGGCATATTTTAGGTCGTCATTAACTTTCTAGAAAGAACGAATAAATAAATTGTATGGTATAATAATTGTTTTTTATTAAAACTAAATTAGACCAGTAATTTAGCAACAAATAACAGATGTCTATAAGTCTATGGCATATTTTATAGAACGTACTTTCACCGGTAAGTGTAAGAGTGCACGCCTTCCCATAAGCCAATAAACGTCAAACGTGTATTATTGGTTGCCTATAGCGAATGTTCAATTCAAATAAGCAAGCAATAAATTATTTTTATTTATGAATCAAGCTTTTAATTTCTTCAGTTCTTATTATAATGCTCAAAGCAAAAAACCCGAAAGAATAAATTGTCAATTTAATAATATTGACAAAATGATTAATTATATTAATTATTACGTGTAAATATCGTCACTTTCCCCTAAACAATTTTTATTCAAATCCCTTTTTATTATAAGACTAATAATTTAATTAACAAATTCTGTAGCTCACTTCAACCAAAAAAAGTCAATTTGAACTCCACTAACTAAAAAAGTTTCGTCTACCCAAAAATTTTCACTTACCAAGGAGTACATTTTGTGATGATTAGATGGCTTTAGTGACTCACTGAACCAAGTGTACTTAACTTAATGCAATTGCACACACCCCATACTGTATTTATACTGGTCTAACGTCCTTCGTGATCCAAATAAATCCAATTTTTCCAAGAAAAACTGGTTCTACTAACACAGCATAGGATGCAATTTTTTAAAAATAATGGTTATTGCTTGTTGCTCGGAGAGTCATAGTCACTAGACTCTAAATTAGGTCACTCCGAACAAAAAGACACCGACAATTAACTATCTCGCTAGAAATCTCACAAACGTGAACAAAAATATAAAATTTCCTCATACATCTGCACCCAGGGTGCAATTTCCCAAAAACCGTATTAGATTTTGAAATTTCGAAATGAATGAAACCAAACAAATTGTTACATCATCATTCAACTGACAAAGAAGTCGGGCACGTAAAGTTTACTTTCATCGGTGAAAAATGGATCGCCCAGATTTTTTTTAAAATGGTATTAAATGAGCGTGTGAAGGATGTTGCGAGCGATGAAGACTGTCAGTGCAGGAAAATTATGACTCATAAATTTACACTTAAGGCTGTTAGTCCTGTTAGAGTCAAAAGTGATGTTTACTAGAACTTCGTTTTATGCAGAATAGGCGATTATGCATTTAATAATGCTCCAGATGTAATCGATTCCATAACTTTGCATTAATTAACATAACATTAAAGTTAAATTGTCGGATTTGTGTACTTCCAGATTGATGAGGCGTGTTGAAATGAGTCGAGGCTATAAAATCGCTCGAGGTTTCATAATCTGTACAAAATCGGATTTTTAAACATTTTTAGCCATATCAGTCAAAACTAGTACGATTGCGATTAATTAAAAAAGTTTACAGTTCTAATTTTCAGGGGTTTAATGTGGCGAAAAATGGACTGATTGGAATGACAAAACAAACAATAGATTATGATTTTGTCGTGAAAGTGTTCAAAGCGTGGTACCAGAATTAATATCTTTGAATCAATTTCTGTCAAGGTAATTTAAAGTTTAAACGATTTCCGTTTCATTTAAAGCCGTCTTACAATAATTGGCCAAGTTGTCAAGTTCTGTATTGCAATATTTTAATTGTTTTCATACATAAAATGACTCAGTCATTTTTACTTTTGACTTAAGTATTTTTATTACCTCTCTGTATTATGTAACGTTTTTGTACTTTCTTTCAGCTGATTTTATTCATAGATGGTGTTTATTGTGGAAAAAGTTGTTGGTTTCGCAAGGTTAACTTATTTTAGATTCGTTTTCTAGATTTGGCAGCTTTAGACTTTGTCCACTCGCGACAGTTCAAGAACGCCGAGTGAATAATGTCGGGCAATTTTTTTATAATTATGCAAAGAAAAACCTCCATTTTCGTATTCTTCTAGCTGATCGAGTCAAAAAATTACTAGAAACTGAAACTACGTCTGATTACTTCAATAAATAATGATTTATTTCCTTAGAAGAAATTTCCAGCCCTTTACCAGGCGGTAGCCAAGGGGGCGGCAGAAAGGGTAGAAATGGCAGGAGCGCCAATAATCGAGCGAGCGCCGATCAAGCCGGTGGCCAAAGGAGCGGCAATAGCGGGGGCGGCGATGGCGGGAGCGGCGATTACGCTAGTGGCCAAAGGAGCAGCCAATGGGGCGTGGATAGCGGGAGCGGCGATAGTGCGAGCAGAGATGATGCTAGTGGCCAGAGGCGCGGCTAAGGGGGCAGCCAGAGGAGCGGCTAAGGGGGCGGCCAGAGGGGCAGCTAAGGGGGCGGCCAAAGGAGCGGCGGCTAAGGGGGCCCCAATGAGTCCGGCGTTGGCGGCGGCGACGGCGGCGGCGACGAAAACAATCTGTGCAAATTATGTACAGTAAAAATTAGGAGACATGAGAGGGTTTGGGTTACCAAAGTGTTCATGGTGAATTGGTCTGTGGACGTTTGGCGTTGTGATGCACTAAAAAGTGCAAGGTGGGTTTATATAGAACAATGTGTCCTCTATTAAGGTGGTTCCATTAAAAAACTTGTTTGTATGACTTTAATGTAATTTATTTGACTGTTGGGTGATAATGGGGATTAAGAAATTGGAGTGAATAAGAGCAGTCTAAGGATATCCTGTGACGCTTCACAAGACATTGATTTTTGTATTGTTTCCAAAATAATTTTTGTGTTCAAATTTTGTTAAGTTTTTGTTTCACCAAAATAGATTATTAAAAAATTAACGATGTCTTCTCAAAAAATGTATTCGTTGTTATAGGTACATTAAATGCTTGTTATGAACCAATTATGAAACGATCAATTTTATCAATAATCGCATTAAGTTGTCGTTTTAATGATGACTTAATCATTAATGTAAAACAAAATTTGTTAGAATTTCTTTTTATTACAAAAATTATGGGCTTGTAATAATTAGATTAAAGCTTATATAATTTTTTTCATGGATAGATAGAAGGAAATTTGCATATTGTACAGCAGTACTTACTCTTAATTATACAGGAAATAAAAGAGATTAATTTATTATTAATATATGTATAGACAGCATGTTTAACCAATAAATTAGGAAGCGAAAAATCAACTTAAATGCCTTATGCATAAAATATTAATTAGGAAAAAGACAATAGCAAGGTCGGAGAACTTGCTGAATAATAATCAATTTCTCCGATGAACGAAGCTCCTTATTGTACCTAAACCCAAGATTCAAACATCTGTAAAACCGTTTTAGCACCGCATTACTAAATCATCTTCATCTGTCCAAATTTCGATAACCTCATCATAAAAATCTTTTTTAATGATGCAAACTAGGAACATTTTACACACAAATCTGACTCACACGTTTCTAGATCAACCTAAATAAATCCACAACTGTGTCAATACCTCTACAACTCCGTAAAATGCAATTTTTTTCACTGTTTCATAAGCCTCATCACCGCTTCAATCGACCATACAAATCTGACATTTCGTAGTGGGCCTTAATCCTACAATGAAACAGGTTTTTTCCTAAATGGAACCACCTTAAAATTTTGGTGGAGGACAAATCTCCACTATAAAAACCCTGTCTGACTTTTTGTCAAGCATCACACTCTCAAAGCACGTTGTAACAGCAGCTTACAAAACAAACACATCACCATGAACTCCTTCGTAAGAAATATTATTTTATAGTTGGTCTTGAATAATTACAATTTTTTGTTTTTCAGGTTGTATTCGTCGCCCTCGCCGTCGCTGGCGCCAACGCCGGACTCATCGGCGCCCCTCTTGCCGCCCCCTTGGCTACCAGCGTGGTCTCCACCCGCACCATCGCCGCCCCCTTGGCCACCACTGGTTTGATCGGCGCTCCTGGTTTGATCGGCGCCCCTGGTTTGATCGGCGCCCGCTCTGTGATCGGAGCCCCCGCCATCTCCACCGTCGCCGCCGCTCCCTTGGCCACCGGTTTGATCGGCGCTCGCTCTGTGATTGGAGCCCCCGCCATCTCCACCCTCGCCGCCGCTCCTTTGACCACCGGTGTGATCGGCGGCCACGGTTTGATCGGCGCCCCCGGTTTGATCGGCGCTCGCTCTGTCATTGGTGCCCCCGCCATCTCCACCCTCTCTGCCGCTCCCTTGGCCGCTTGGTAAAAACCGTGGTGCTTAGTTTGTTGATTATGTCCCCAAAGACATCGCTAAATAAACTTATTTATTGAAGTTATTTTAGATTTTTATTTACTTTTATTCTTGTAATAAGTCCTAGGGGTGAGTTGGGAAAGGTGTGAATGTGGTGGATCTTTGAAAGATAAACAAAAGCAAGTAAAATTGTGGAAAATGAAAGAAAAACGCATTGGAACAAAGATTTCAAAAGCTAAAAAAAATAAGCACCTAATTTTCTGTTCCCAAGGAAAACTCTGTACTAAACAGTGAAGATCATGAAGAAAAATAGGTAATGTAAGTATCTTCATGTAATTATTACATCACTGTGCCTGTATATTTTTTCTGCAATTTCTATAAAATATTTACTATTAATTAATAATTTTCTGTGATGACATCATCAACTGTTTGGAGGGGATGAAAATTAGTAAAAAAATTTGGAAAAAATCTACTTTCTGGAAATTTTGTATGTTAAAAATATTATGTAGATGGTAAAACGCTAACTAAAATTTGTCTGCTAATCCCCACCATAAATGGAATGACGTCATCTATAAATTTTACCATAGTGAATATTATTTCAATTTTATAAAATAAGGTACTCCTGAGTTTGGGGTTTCTGAATCCGGGTTGAGTTTTTATTTTAGACTTCCAGATTTTTGGAAAAAAAAACAAAATTGTATAAAAAAGTTTTACAATAATTTAATTTTGAAATTGCAGAATCGAATGCTTGAAACGTTTTAAGGTTATCGGAAGCGTGGTAAACCGTTAAATAAAATTTGTCCGTTGAAGTCTCCCCGTGAATAGTCCGAAATTGATTGTTTATGAATCCGTGTTGAATTTTTATCCTAGATATCAAGAAAAAAAAAGTCAAAATTGTAGATATAGCAAATTTTAGATTTCTCAATTTTTCGACTTTTCGATTGTTCAGTTTTTCAGTTTTCAACTATCGATTTATCAGTATCTGGATATTTCAGTTCTGAGATTTTTCAGATTTTTCAATCTCTCGATTTTTTAATTTTTCAGTTTCTTGGTTTTCAATTTTTCGATTCTTCAATTTTTCAAGACTAAATTTCAGATTCCTCAATTTTTTTATTTTTCGATTTCTCAATTTTCTGATATTTCAGTGTTACGATTTTCAATTTTTTGATCCTTCAATCTTTCGATTAGATTTTTCTGGTTTTCAAATTTTCAATTTTTGTCGTTTGTAAGATTTAGATTTGTCGATTTTTCGAATTCGCGATTTCCAGGTTTTTCGACTTTTCGATTTCAAAATTTTTCGATTACGATTTTTCGAATTTTTAATTTTCCCATTTCTCGATTTTTCTAATTTTTCAATTTTTTTATTTTTCGATTTCTCAATTTTCCGTATTTATTATTTTCAGTATTACGATTTTTCAATTTTTTAATTTTTCCATTTTTCGATTTTTACATTTTTCCAGTTTTCAAATTTTCAGTTTTTGGCATTTAAGTTTTCGATTTATCGATTTTTTGGATTCGCGATTTCCAGCTTTTGTGCGACTAGGATTTTTCGACTAATCAAAAGATTTTTCCATTTCTCGATTTCTCGACTTCTGATTGTTTCGAGATCGTTTGATTTTTGATTTTATAAATTTTGGATTTTTTGACTTTTCCATTTTTCGACTTTTCGATTTCCCAATTTTTCAATTTTTCGATCTCTTTTATGTTTCTATTTCTCGATTTTCACATTTTTAACTTTTGAGTTTCTCAATATTTTAATCTTTAGCCTTTTCAATTTAAAATTTCTCAATATCTCAATGGTTGAGTTTTCGGTTTTCCCGTTTTTTAATTTTTCAATTTTTGGTGTTTAAATTTCTCGATTTTTCAATTTCTTCGTTTTCAATTTTTCGATTATTGAACTTTTCAATATTTCAGTTTAGGGATTTTTCAATTCCCTACTTTCTCGATTTTTCAAATTTTAGATTTCTCAATTTTTCTATTTTCAATATTTCAATTTTCGGATATTTCACTATTCCGATTTTTTTATTTTTTGATTCTTCAATTTCCCGATTTTTGAATTTTTCCATGTTTCAAATTTTCAATTTTTCGCGTTTATAAGTTTTCGACTATAATTTTTCAAATTTTTTGATTTTCTATTTCTCGATTTCTCGACTTTTCATTTTTCCGATATTTTAGTTTTTTTATTTTGTAAATTTTCGATTTTTCCATTTTTCGACCTTTCGATTTTTTGCCTATTCGACTTTTGCATTTATCGATTTTTCGATTTTTTTGATGATTCTATTTCTTCATTTTCAATTTTTTGACTCTTCAATTTCTTGATATCTCAATTTTTAGCTTTTTAAAATTAAAATTTTTCAATATCCCAATGGTTTAGTCTCGGTTTTCCCGTTTTTTCGATTTTTCAATTTTCCGATAATTCAGTATTACGATTTTTCAATTTTTTGATTCTTCAATTTTTGCCGTTTGTAAGTTTTCGATTTATCGATTTTTCGAATTGGCAATTTTTAGATTTTTCGAATTTTCGATTTCAAAATTTTTCGACTACGGTTTTCCAAGTTTTTTATTTTTCCATTTCTCGATATTTCAAATTTCAGATTTCTATTTTTTTCGATTTCTCAATTTTCGGATATTTCAGTATTCCGATTTTTCAATTTTTTGATTCTTCAATTTTTCGATTTTTTCATTTTTGAATTTTTCCAATTTTCAAATTTTCAATTTTTGGCGTTTGTAAGTTTTCGATTTGTCGATTTTTCGAATTCTCGACTTCCAGATTTTTCGAATTTTGAACTTTTCGATTTCAAAATTTTTCGATTACAATTTTTCGATTTTTGGATTTTCCCATTTCTCGATTTCTTGGCGAATGTTTCGAAATCTTTTTTTTTCGATTTTTCAGTTTTTCAATTCTTCAGTTTTTCAATTTTTCAATTTTTCGATATTTTAGGTTGTTGATATTTCAATTTTTCGATTTTTTTAATGTTTCTATTTCTCGATTTTCAATTTTTTGATTCTTCAGTTTCTCGATATTTTAATTTTTAGGTTTTTAAATTTAATTTTTTTAATATTTTCGATGGTTCAGTTTTTCGGTTTTTCTATTTTTTAATTTTCAATTTTTTAATGTTAAGTTTTTCGATTTTTCAATTTTTTGATTCTTCAATTTTTCGATTTTTCAATTTTTCCAGTTTTGAATTTTTCAATTTTTCAAATTTTCAATTTTTGGCGTTTGTAAGTTTTCGATTTGTCGATTTTTCGAATTCTCGATTTCCAGATTTTTAGATTTTTCGACTTTTTTGATTTTTCTATTTCTCGACTTTTGAATGTTCCGAGATCTAGAATTTTCGATTTTCACTTTTATGTCATCGATATTTCAATTTTTCAGTTTTTCAATATTTTGGGCTTTTGATTTTTCAATTTTTTGATTTTTTACATTTTCGATTTTTCGACATTTCGATTTTTTCACTTTTCGACTTTTAAATTTCTTGATTATTCAATTTTCAGGTTTTTTATGATTCTATTTCTCAATTTTCAATTTTTTGACTCTTCAATTTCTTGATATTTTAATTTTTAGCTTTTAAAATTTAAAATTTTTCAATTCTTTAATGTTTAAATTTTTCGATTTTTCAATTTTTTGATTTTTCAAATTTTCGATTTTTGAATTTTCAATTTTTGACGTTTGTAAGTTTTCGATTTGTCGATTTTTCGAATTCTCGATTTCCAGATTTTTAGATTTTTCGACTTTTCGATATCGAAATTTTTCCGACTACGATTTTCCGCTTTTTCGATTTTCCTATTTCTCGACCTTTGAATGTTCCGAGATCTAGAAGTTTCGATTTTCAGTTTTTATGTCATCGATATTTCAATTTTTCAGTTTTTCAATATTTTGGGTTTTTGATTTTTTGATTTTTTACATTTTTGATTTTTCGACATTTCGATTTTTAGACTTTTCGACTTTTCGACTTTTAGATTTCTTGATTTTTCAATTTTTAGGTTTTTTTATTATTCTATTTCTCAATTTTCAATTTTTTGACTCTTCTATTTCTTGATATTTTAATTTTTAGCTTTTGAAATTTAAAATTTTTCAATTTTTGGATAGTTGAGATTTTCGGTTTTCCCGTTTTTGATTTTTCAATTTTTTGATTTTTTGCATTTTCGATTTTTCGACATTTCGATTTTTAGACTTTTCGACTTTTCGATTTCTTGATTTTTCAATTTTCAGGTTTTTTATGGTTCTATTTCTCGATTTTCAATTTTTTGACTCTTCAAGTTTTTGATATTTTAATTTTTAGCTTTTAAAATTTAAAATTTTTCAATTCTTTAATGTCTAAATTTTTCGATTTTTCAATTTTTTGATTCTTCAAATTTTCGATTTTTGAATTTTCAATTTTTGACGTTTGTAAGTTCTCGATTTGTCGATTTTTCGAATTCTCGATTTCCAGATTTTTAGATTTTTCGACTTTTCGATTTCGAAATTTTTCCGACTACGATTTTCCGCTTTTTTGTTTTTCCTATTTCTCGACTTTTGAATGTTCCGAGAGAATTTTCGATTTTCAGTTTTTATGTCATCGATATTTCAATTTTTCAGTTTTTCAATATTTTGGGTTTTTGATTTTTTGATTTTTTACATTTTTGATTTTTCGACATTTCGATTTTTAGACTTTTCGACTTTTCGACTTTTAGATTTCTTGATTTTTCAATTTTTAGGTTTTTTTATTATTCTATTTCTCAATTTTCAATTTTTTGACTCTTCTATTTCTTGATATTTTAATTTTTAGCTTTTGAAATTTAAAATTTTTCAATTTTTGGATAGTTGAGTTTTTCGGTTTTCCCGTTTTTGATTTTTCAAATTTTTGATTTTTTACATTTTCGATTTTTCGACATTTCGATTTTTAGACTTTTCGACTTTTCGATTTCTTGATTTTTCAATTTTCAGGTTTTTTATGATTCTATTTCTCAATTTTTAATTTTTTGACTCTTCAATTTTTTGATATTTTAATTTTTAGCTTTTAAAATTTAAAATTTTTCAATTCTTTAATGTTTAAATTTTTCGATTTTTCAATTTTTTGATTCTTCAAATTTTCGATTTTTGAATTTTCAATTTTTGACGTTTGTAAGTTTTTGATTTGTCGATTTTTCGAATTCTCGATTTCCAGATTTTTAGATTTTTCGACTTTTCGATATCGAAATTTTTCCGACTACGATTTTCCGCTTTTTCGATTTTCCTATTTCTCGACTTTTGAATGTTCCGAGAGCTAGAATTTTCGATTTTCAGTTTTTATGTCATCGATATTTCAATTTTTCAGTTTTTCAATATTTTGGGTTTTTGATTTTTTACATTTTTGATTTTTCGACATTTCGATTTTTAGACTTTTTGACTTTTCGACTTTTCGATTTCTTGATTTTTCAATTTTTAGGTTTTTTTATTATTCTGTTTCTCAATTTTCAATTTTTTGGCTCTTCTATTTCTTGATATTTTAATTTTTAGCTTTTAAAATTTAAAATTTTTCAATTTTTGGATAGTTGAGTCTTTCGGTTTCCCGTTTTTTAATTTTTCAATTTTTTGATGGTTAAATTTGTCGATTTTTCAATTTTTCGTTTTATCAGTTTTTCGATTTTTGTATTTTTCAATTTTTGGAATGTTTTTAATTTAATTTACATTTTGATGTTTAAGCAATTTTTTTTGTTCGGTTTTAAGTTATATACTTGTTACTTTCACACTTTGTGCCTATTCATTTTTTAGTAAAATTAGGAAAATCAACACCAGATTTTAATCGAATAAATTAAATTTTATTCCCAACAGATTATACAAAGTATTTAGAGAATATGAGCTCCTCCAATGAGTCCATGTCCTCCGATGAGTCCGGATCCCAAACCGTATCCGTAAGCACCTCCGTAACCGTAGGCTCCTCCGTAGGCGCCTCCGTAGACGGTGCGGGCGATGGCTGGGCCGGCTACGACGGGACCGGCGTGAGCGACGGCGAGAGGAGCGGCATGGGCTACAGCGACTGGGGCGGCATGGGCCACAGCGACTGGAGCGGCGTGGGCGACGGCGACGGGGGCGGCGTGAGCCACAGCGACTGGGGCGCCGTGGATGGTGCGGGTGGAGACGACGCTAGTGGCCAGGGGGGCGGCGTGGGCCACGGCCACGGGAGCGTGGGCTACGGCCAAGGGGGCGGCGTAGGAGGTGGCCAAGGGGGCTCCGATGAGGCCTGCGTTGGCTGTGGCAACGGCGAAGGCGACGAAGACGGCGACGAACTGCAACAAATGGTTTGAATGTGCACATTGACACAGCGGTGTTGGTACTTACGGAGTTCATTTTTGATGTTGGGTTTTTGAGTTGCGTTTGTTAGAAACGTCGAGTGGTAATGATGTCTGTGGACACGAATTTTGGGTTTTTATAGTTCGACAATGGCCTCAACCTCAACGAGATATTGGTGGCCACCCTAAATAAAACTGGTTTGACACGCAATGGTACAAGTGTTAAAGCCCAACTATAATGTCAAATATGTAGGTATTAGTATCACCCATTATATTGATGGTACAGATTTAGTGTGTTGCGAAATTGTTTAGTTTATGGTGACCATTGGTTCGTTTTATTAATTAAGGCGACCTTCGATTTTATTGCATCTTTTGGCTGAATAAGTGCATTTCGTGCCTAATAATCATCCATCTTGTGCGCCCTAATTGACAATTTATCTAACGTTTCACAACTGTTTTTACTGTAGGCGGTGACAATGGAAACAATAACTTATTATTTTGTCGAAGAAATGTTTCAGAAGCTGTTGGCATAAAATTTGCATATTTATAGCACTGGATTTATTTTTTAGAGACTATGATTAATCCGCACGTGGGTTTTTATTAATATATTGTGTTGTAGTGTATCAAAAAATCGCTATATTTTATTTTTTCGCAACATAAATGTTGCAAGTGACAAATCAATCAGGAAACTTTTCTATCTATGGCGAAAAATGTTACATGGGAGCAGAACTCGTTTCGGTTTTCATCAACTCGGAAAACTAGACCAAAAACTGGGTCTCCTACAATAGTAAAAAGTTGCGTGTGATAGGATTTAAATTAGACTGATATGGAGGACTCATTTTTTTTTATAATAATAAACTGTTGTTAATGTGTCAGTAAATTTATCTTAATTGTTTAAATTTATCGTCGATAATAAATTTAAGTTTCGATGAATATTGCTGCAGGGGTTTGTGAACTATTGATTTTAAATATCAATTAAAAGAATTGTTTCGAAAGGAACTTGTTTTATGTTTTTTGTTGACTTAGACACCATTTTTTTAACGTAGATATTTATGTGCATTAGCGTTATAAACTCTTTCCTACCGTATTAAACGAATTATTATTTTTTCGATTTTTTTCCAAATCTTAATAGCTGAAAAAATTGCTCATCATAGTTGAAACAAATTTAACGAGTTTTGCTAAAAATTACTATTAAAGCTTAAATTTGACGAAATTTTATTTTAACAGGTACTAGCCCCGCCCACCCATCCTGTCTTTTCTTAAAGGATATGTCATTTGCCAAAATCAGTCTTATCTTAGCAGGTACTAGCCCCGCCCACCCACCCTCTGTTTTCTAGAGGGTATGTCATTTGCCAAATTCAGTGTTATCTTAGCAAGTATTATGTTTTGCCTTTTTTTTCTTCTTAATATACAGTCTTCTCTTCCCAACAAGACACTCACATTTCTCTACAAATTTACTAGAAAAGATAACTACAGTAACTACGTGCATATATTAAGAAAAAAACGCAAAAAACAAACCCCGCCCACCCACACTCATCTCTATTGTGACGACTTGTTTTATTCGTCGTTAGCTGAGGGGCGGAGCTTATTTGTAAAATTCTTATTTCTCTACAAGAATCTACCATGTGAAACATGTTTTTATGTTTTTAAAAGAAAACTATATATGTCAAGAAAAAATAAGCCCCACCCGCCCGCCCCAACCTCAAATGTAATAAATTTTTCATTCGTTGTCGGGCCAAGGGGCGGAGCTTAAGTGTAAAATCCATGTTTCCAGACAAAGATTTACCATTTTAAACGTTTTAAATATCTTGACGGGAAAAGAAGATTACGTATATTCGCAAAAAACGGCAAAATTTAAGGCCCGCCCACCACATTTTTTTTTATTCGTTGTAAACCCGAGGGCGGAGTTTAATTGCAAAATTCTGATTTCTCAACAAGAACTTACCACCTGAAACATGTTTTTAAGTATGCTGTTGTTGTTGTAAGAAATCTGTATATATTAAGAAAAAAAAAAAGCAAGGATAAAGCACTTTATACAGTATGTTTTTTAAATAGCAATATTAGCATGCACTTCAATTATTTTCAACTATACAATTTTTTGAGAATTTTTAGACGATTTTTTCAAAATTGAAATTTTCCATTATGTACTTATGCAAATTTTGACCCACTTTCGACGATGTTCGAAATTTATTTAAATACATTTTCTTATAAATTTCAATTAATTCCGAATTTTTTTAACATTTTTTGTTAATATACGTAGTCTTCTTTTCACAAACAAAAAACTTAAAACATGTTCAAAATAGTAAATTTTTGTAGGGAAATATGGATTTTGCAATTAGGCTCCGCCTCTTGGTCTGACAACCAATGAAAAATTCATCACAATTAAGATCAGGGCGGGTGGGTGGGGTTTAATTTTTGCTTTAATTTTTACTTAATACATAATATATAGTTTTCTTTGAACAACACGATTACTTAATAAATATTTTGCAATAAAGCTTTGCCCCCCCCCGCATGGATTTTTTTTGTACATAATTTTTTATTTATTATTAAATATTTTTTGTTTATTCATGAAAAATAACAGCTTATTTGATAAAATGACTTTTTTTCAAAATCTACATAATAAAGAATTTTTTTATTATTTTTTTGGCACTCCCGAAATCCCAGTACATAACGTAATGAAGAGTTAATCCGCCGTTTTCCAGACACCCGGTATATTACTAGATACGAAAGTCACAGGTTCCAATGTAAGGAACCAGTTTGTGTTCATTAATCGTCAAAATTATAAATTTTGTGCACAAAAACACTTTTTTAGTTTTAATGTCAATATTAATGGCCTCATTATACCGTGGTAACAACTGCTGACATTTTACGAAACACTGGTTGGCAAAAAATTGGAAAACTTCAAAAATTGGATCATTTAACGAAATCAAACACAACATAAACTAAGTATCGAATTTATTTGTTTTTTAGGAACAATCGAATGCCCATTTTACATATCTAAAACATACTTAGGTGCTTTGGTAACCATAAATACTGACCACGTTACAATAAATAAAATTTCAACAATCTGTTTAGGTACAATTTAAAAATAACGTCTAGGAAATTTTCTATCCAACACGAGACATCATCATGGTTTTCGCTTTCATGGCACCCATTCCTCCCATTCCCCCCATTCCTCCCATGCCCATCATGCCTGCGCCCATGCCTCCCATGCCGATCATGCCTCCTCCCATTCCGCCTCCCATGCCTCCCATGCCCATCAAGGGCATCATCATGGCCCCGCCGCCCATCATGCGCCCGGCGCCGATCATGCCCGCTCCCATTCCAGCGCCTCCCATCATGGGCATCATCATCTGGGCGCCGATTATGACAGCGTTGATGGCAAGGACGACGACAGTCTGAAAATAATTATCACAATTAATAATCAAAAATGGTAATAAGTGTACGTACCAGAGTGTTCATTGTGTGATAATTTCTTGGAGAGTTGTTCTTCGACTATGCTAATTACAGTCAGCTGATTATCTTATATAATCAAAGTGTTGTCCTCCAACTAAAAATTGATTCGGCGTAGATAATTTGATTGATAAGAGTACGTAGAGTTCTTTGACTTAGAGGAGATTCAAACCATGCGTAAGTGTGTCAATCGGATTTTACGAATTACGTGTGAATTAAATCAATTTATAAACAATAATAAATTAGTTAACAGGTATAATTTAAATTTCGACATTCCTAATTGGATCTACTTTAGGTGTGGAGCGTGTAACCACATTGGAGACATGTTTACGATGCCTAAGTTATGCCACTGGGTGGTGTTTAATTAGTAACGTCAAACCTATAATTATTATGATTTTTGAATGGGTGTAATCATCACTGGCATTTAAACAGTTAAACACATGTTTTTCAAAAACTATTGGTTCAGATTAAGAAATCTGTTCAGCTGGAACCTAGCCATCCTCACATATTTATAGGACTGGTTTTTGACAACTTTGTTACAAATTCTTTTTTTGTCTTACGTAATTTTGGCAACAATTGCTTCACACTTTTTGTGAACTTTGCGAAGTTCAGGTCAATAAATTTCCACAACAATGAATCACCTACTAAATACTTTTACGCTAAGATGAGTAAAGGAGCCGATTTTTCCATCAATTCGTCCAATTTGTTTACGATTTCACGCACGCGTAGTCAAAATTTTTCTGTTGAAATAGTACAAAAGATTACACGAAAACCAGTTCGGTGCGAAAAAAAGCCCATTGTCAAGGTTAGTGTGTCCTATATAAAGCTTGCGAATGTTAGTCCCGACATAGTTTCAAACAACTAAAACCATCACCATGAAGTACATTGTAAGTGGTCAAAATTTTCGCTGGGTGAGTTTTTTTGAAATTTTTGTTCCAGGTTTTCGCTGTTGTCTTAGTTTTGGCCGTTGCTGCAGCCTACGGCCAGATTATCACCACTGGAACTACCTCCTTGACCAATGGGGTGGTTGCTCCCGTCGTTGCTACTCCCTGGGCTGGAGGTCTGATTGCTTCTCCATGGGCTGGTGGTGCCGTTGTTGGTACAGTCTGGTGAAAAGCTACTACGCTGTGTTTATAAAATGAGGCTAGTTATGATTAATAAACCTATATTTTTGTACATGTTATTTTTATTTGAACAATAAGATTAAAGACTTGCTCTGAAAATGAGTTTTAAAACCCTATTAAATTTTCATAATGTGTTGAAGAACGTCTAAACAGTGCCCTGTATTTGGCGCAATCAAGTGTTGTGGAACAAGACTTGTTAGTTTAGACATGATATTTATTCTAGTCACTTGTGATACAATAATTAATTAAAAAACAGGTGTTTACTTATATTTTTCTAAGATTGTTATCTCTGTAAACCGGAATACCAATTTATATAAGCAAAATCAGAAAATATCCTTACATAACTAAAATTTCCAGTAAAATTTAAAACTGTTAGCAGAGTTTATTCATATACAGCATTTCGATATTCTGTGAAACTGAATAGGGAACACATTAATCAACTACAAGGCAGTAATTTACAACAGACAAGTAGTTAAGATAATTCTGGCAACTATAACAATCAATTATCGCTTGTGAACTCACTTTTGAGCATTGGTTTAGAAGTAGAGCTCCATAAAATTTTATTGCACCATAAGATATTTGCATCGATAATGGCTGCTTAACAACCACAGAAAAAACCGGGTTTACTATATTACTCAGCCACTAAATGTCTTTATTAACGAATCGATTGTTTTACTTGATTCAAATCTCATTCTTATTTTTTTATTGGATTTTAGTGGATTTATTCAATTTGTTTCAGTGCTAAGTAACGTAAGAAATTTTCAATGCTATTAAACCGGACTTCCCTCGACTTTCAAGTTAATGAAAAATGTATATCGGGAAGTATTTTTCATTACAAAAACTGAGCACGAACTGAAAAAAAAAACAGTGAAACGTTAAAAATAGACTTTAATATCAAAATTTTATAATGTCTTAGTACCCTAATTCAATAATAAATTTACTGTGACACCCAGCGAATTGAGTCTCATTTCATTGAGAACAACTATTTGCCAATAACTTTCTGTCGCTTGTCATAAATCAATATGTTAATTAAAAACACTAATCTACATTTTTGCAAAATAAATGAAACTGTGACCCGATAACAAACATCTGTTGTTTAAATATTACCAACTAAAGCACCGTTGCATACATTAATTCCTACTTTGTTTAATTTTTGTATTGTTTACAAATTTTACATACTCAAATTGGTAATTTAATAATACGACATGATCGCCTTGGAGATGAATCTATTATTGGATCCAATTTAATTTTCAAATTTAGCGCGACAAATTATCAGTATTTTCGCCATTTATAATACAGCGTAAAAAAAGCTATAAAAATCCAGTTATTGTGTTTGTTTTACAAATTTATGCCAATCGTATAAAGTTTGACGTCCGCCTAGGTACAACATTCTGGTGAAATATTTTTAAAACTTACGGGAGACTTATCTGCATAAGCAAAAACTTACCACCAAGGACTTAGTGTCCTATATAAGCTTTGCACATCCTTATCCCGACATACTCAGTTTCAACAACTATTCAACAATCACCTACAAGACTTCAATAATCTACCATCATGAAATACATGGTAAATTTTATTTATTTATTTTTTCTTTGTTATAGACTTTTTCATATTTTTGTTCATAGATCGTTGCTGTTTTCTTCGTTCTGGCCATCGCCGCCTCCTACGCCCAAATTCTTACGTCTGATCTGAACGGCGGCTTGATTTCCCCATTGGGGGTGGGTGTAGCTCCTTTGGGTGGAGGACTGGTCGCTTCTCCATGGGCCGCTGGACCTCTTGTTGGTGGCATATTGTAGAAGATTATCAACCTACAGTGTGACATCACTGCCTGGGTTCCATTTATAATAATTAAAATTATTGTAAAAAAATAGGAACCAATTGTATTATGTGTATATAATAAAGAGGCTATTTTTCTATATTTTCGTATTTTTATTAAGGAAATACCACCGGGTGACTAAACTATAATAAGAAGAAAAAGCAAAATATAAGCCCCGCCCGCCCCATCTTAATTGTGATGATACTTTTTTATTCGTTGTGAGCCGGGAGGCGGAGTTTAATTGCAAAATCTTAATCTTAATGTCAATATTAATAGTTTCATTATACCGTGGTAAAAACTGCTGACATTTTACGAAACCTTGCTAAAAAAATGTACAACTCTCTCAAAAAGTAGACGATTTAACGAAATCCAACACCAGACATTATCATGGTTTTCGCTGCCACGGCACCCAGTCCTCCCATGCCCATCATCCCCATCGAGGACATCATCATACTACATGATTGCCGCCCATCATGGGGCCCGGCGGCAAGCATGCCTGGTCACATTCCATACTCTTTAATCATGGATAACATCATCATTGAAACAACTACCGGGTGACTATAATATAACAAGAAGAAAAAAGCACAATATATGCCCCGTCCACCCGCTCCATCTCAATTGTAATGAATTTTTCAGTCGTCAGACCATGGGGCGGACCCTAACTGCAAAATTCGTATTTGTCTACAAAAATTAATTTTAAACATGTTTCCAGTTTCTTGTTGGAATAAGAGATTACGCATATTAAGAAAAAGAAATCCCAAAATGTAAGCCCCACCCACCCGCCCCCATCTCAATTGTGATAATTTTTTTTATATGCCGCGAACCAGGGGACGGGCTTATATGCAAAATCTTTATTTTTCTACAAGAAATTACCATTTGAAACATGTTCTTCAGTAATCGTATTCAACGAAAACTATACCTATGTATTGAGTGAGAAAGAATGCCAAAGATTAAACCCCACCTATACCTGTCCCGATCTAAATTATGATAAATCTTTCATTAGCTGTTAGACCGAGGGGCGGAGCTTAATGACAAAATCCATATTTCTCTGCAAGAAATTACCATTTTAACCATGTTTTCAGTTGCTTTTGGTAATGTATAACAAGAAGAAAAAAACAAAATATTATATGATCTAAGCAAAATATATAATATATGTGAATATTACTGATTGAAGCACATTTTTCTTTGGCAATTCTGAATCGTTGGCAACAATGCTTGAATGTCAGTTCATAGTTGTCATTTTGACATGAGTAGATGCCAGCTGGCAGTAACAGTGCTTAGTGTTATAAATTTCAAATTGACAAGACGGTGTGCCCTTTGATCATATAATAATTATATTATTATATGATCTAAGGGTGTGCCATCATAAAATTTTAAATATGTTACCAACCTGCGAAAAAAATAATTAATTAATAAATTAATAAACACGCTCGCTTGGGAGACGAACGTAAATTATTAGATCCAAATGAATCTTCATATTTAGTGCGGCAAATTTATCAATATTTTCGCCAGCACAAAAAAAGCCATGAAAATCCAGTTACTGTGTTTGTTTTACAAATTTATGCTAATCGCATCAAGTTTGATGTCCGCCTGGTAAAACTTTCTGGTGAAATATTTCACAAACTTACGGGAGACTTATTTCCATAAACAAAAACTTACCACCAAGGACTTAGTGTTCTATATAAGCTTTACACATCCTTATCCCGACATACACAATTTCAACAACTAGTCAACAACCACCTGCAACACTTTAATAATAACAATTAAACATCATGAAATACTTGGTAAATTTTATATATTTATTTTTTTTTGTTACAGATTTTTCATATTTTTGTTTATAGATCGTTGCTGTTTTCTTCGTTTTGGCCATCGCCGCCTCCTACGCCCAAATCCTGACGTCTGATTTGAACGGCGGCTTGATTTCCCCATTGGGGGTGGGTGTAGCTCCTTTGGGTGGAGGACTGGTCGCTTCTCCATGGGCTGCTGGACCTCTTGTTGGTGGCATATTGTAGAAGATTACTTAGCCTACAATACGACATCATTGCCTGCGTTCCAGTCATAAGTTTTTAAATTATTGTAAAAAAACAGGAAAGCAGTTGTACTGTATGTAATATAATAAAGAGGCAATTTTTGTATATTTTCGTATTTTTATTAAGGTAATACACAAACTTCAAATCAACACAAAATGTCAAAACACGAAATTAAACTTTTCGCTGTTATAAGAACAAATTGAAATAGTTTAAGAAAAAGATGTGCTTGAATTTGTCGTTTTTGACAAAAATATTAAAAATGCATGTTTCATATTACTCGTAAAAAATCCCTGAATACACCTAATTTTTTTTTATAAGTTTAGCAACAATACTGAAATTTGACGAATGATTGGATTTAATTGTCAAAAATTTCGATTTCTTGCAAAATAGGTCGAAAATTCACAGGTTCCTAATAAACTAGTTTGTGTTCATTAATATTTAAAAACATAAAATTCACTCGCTAATAGTCGAAATTATTAAATTTTGTGCACAAAAACACTTAAAAAAATATAATTTTCGCAAAAAGTAGACGATTTAACGGAATCAAACATACAACATAAAATAACTACCGAATTTATTAGGATTTAACTGATTATAATTTGAAAATAACCTTTACGAATTTGTTCTACGCAACACCAGATATTAGCATGGATTTTGCTTCCACGGCACCCATTCGTCCCATTCCTCCCATGCCCATCATGCCTGCTCCCATGCCTCTCATCCCCATCGAGGATATCATCATAGTTCCGCCAACCATCATGGTACCCGGTCGCGATCATGCCCGGTCCCATTCCAGCATCTTCAATCATAGATATCATCATTGAGAACAACTACCGGGTGACTATTAATGTCTGAAGCACATTTTTGTATTGATAATTCTGAATCGATACTTGTATAGTGACCCAAGACCTATAAGGTTATATGGCCATCATAAAAGTAGTTGACCGCAAATAAATACCCCCTTTGTGTGGTTCGCACTAAGCTTACCGGTTGGCAATAAATCATCTTCTAAGCATTTCTTGCTCATATTTAACAGGGCCGGCTTTCAAAGCGAGTGGTTATTTCGGAACCCTCAGCGGCTGCAGGTAGTAAAGAAATAGTGGAGTGGTGGATTTTCATATTTAGTGAAAGCCGCCCCTGAACGAAACCACAAGAGCCGGTCGAGCTGCAGTGGACACGTTATTTACGACCCTAAAACCTTTTCTATTGTAAACAACTTAACTTCGACACAATGGGATGATTTTATGATGGCCATATAACCTTATAACTCTTGGTTCACTATATGTCAGTTCATAGTTGTCATTTTGACATAGAAGTGGACAACTGGCAGTAACAGTACTTACTGTCATAAATTTCGAACTGACAAGGTATGCCACCATAAAATTTTAGATATGTTACCAACCTGCTAAAAATATCATTCGATACTTACCAATAACTTTGTCGCTCGTTATAAATCAGTGTATTAATTAAAAATATTAATTTACATTTCTGTTTAAGAAAAGAATTTGTGACCTTATATTATAACAAACATCTGTTGTTTAAGTATTATAGGCACTACTAAAACACCGTTACACTCATTAATCGTCAAAATTATTAAATTTTGTGCGCAAAAGCGCTTTATTTAGGTTTAATGTCAATATTAATTGTTTCATTATACCTCGGTAATAACTGTGGACATTCTACGAAACCCAACTAAAAAAATTTAAACTCTCAAAAAATAGACGATTTAATGAAATCCAACACGAGACATTATCATGGAATTCGATTCCGTGGCATCCATTCCTCTCATTCCGCCCATGTCCATCATCCCCATCAAGGGCATCATCATAGCTCCGCCGCCCAGGGTCATGGGGCCCGGCGGCGATCATGCCTGGTCCCATTCCAGCGTCTGTAACCATAGATAACATCATCATTGAAACAACTACCGGGCGACTATATTACAATAAGAAGAAAAAAGCAAAATATAAGCCCCGCCCACCCGCCCCATCTTAATTGTAATGATTCTTTTTTATTTGTCGTCAGCCGGGGGACGGAGCGTAATTGCAAAATCTTCATTTCTCTACAAGAAATTATCGTGTTGTTTAAAGAAAACTATTTATAAATATTTAGAAAAAAAGTCAAAAATTGTGTCCTATCCATCCGCCCCAATCTCAAATTGTGATCAATTTTTCAGTCGTTGTCAGACCGTGGGGCAGACCCTAACTGCAAAATTCATTTTTCTCTAAAAAAATTTATTTTAAACATGTTTCCAGTTTCTTGTTGGGAAAAGAGACTACGCATATTAAGAAAAAGAAATGCCAAAATCTAAGCCCCACCCACCCGCCCCCGTCTCAATTGTGATGATTTTTTTATATGCCGCGAACCAGGGGGCGGACTTAATTGCAAAATCTTTATTTTTTTACAAGAAATTACCATCTGAAACATGTTCTTAAGTAATCGTTTTCAAAGAAAAATGTATGTATTGAGTGAAAAAGCAAGCCAAAGATTAAACCCCACCTATACCTGTCCCGATCTAAATTATGATAAATTTTTCATTAGCTGTTAGACCGAGGGGCGGAGCTTAATTACAAATCCATATTTCTCTACGAGAAATTACCATTTTAAACATGTTTTTAGTTGCTTTTCGTAAGGTACAACAAGAAGAAAAAAACAAAATATAATATACAATATATGTGAATATTACTGATTTAACATCTTTGTTTTGGCAATTCTGAATCGTTGGCAACAGTGCTTGTATGTCAGTTCGTAGTTGTCATTTTGACATGAGCACGCTTAACAAAGGTCATGAATAGGTGGCAGTTAGCAGTAGCAGAGCTTAGTGTTATAAATTTCAAATTGACAAGACGGTGTGCCAGTGATAAAATTTTACATATGTTACCAACCTGCGAAAAAAATAACTCGCTATCTGCCAATAACTTTGTCGCTTGTCGTAAATCATTGTATATATTTCTCTACTAAGGCACTATTACATACATTAATTCCTTCTTTGTTATTTTTTTTTATAAACACGTTCGCTTGGGAGATAAATGTATATTATTAGATCCAAATGAATCTTCAACTTTAATGTTGCAAATTTATCAATATTTTCGCCAGCGCAAAAAAGCCATGAAAATCCAGTTATTTTGTTTGTCTTACAAATTTATGCTAATCGCATCAAGTTTGATGTCCGCCTAGGTAAAACTTTCTGGTGAAATGTTTCACAAACTTACGGGAGACTTATCAGCATAAACAAAAACTTACCACCAAGGACTTAGCGTCCTATATAAGCTTTACACATCCTTATCCCGACATACAAAGTTTCAACAGCTAGTCAACAACCACTTGCAATAATTCAATAATAATTTAACATCATGAAATATTTGGTAAATTTTATTTATTTTTTTTGTTATAGACTTTTTCATTTTTTGTTTATAGATCGTTGCTGTTTTCTTCGTTTTGGCCATCGCCACCTCCTACGCTCAAATCCTTACGTCTGATCTGAACGGAGGCTTGATTTCCCCATTGGGGGTGGGTGTCGCTCCTTTGGGTGGAGGACTGGTCGCTTCTCCATGGGCTGCTGGACCTCTTGTTGGTGGCATATTGTAGAAGATTATTAACCTACAGTGTGACATCACTGTCTGCGTTCCAGTTACAACAATTAAAATTATTGTAAAAAAATAGGAACCAGTTGTATTATGTGTATATAATAAAGAGACTATTTTTCTATATTTTCGTATTTTTATTAAGGCAATATATAAATTTCAAATTAAAACAAAATGTCAAAACACAAAATTACACTATTCGCTGTTATAAGAACGGATTAAAATTGGTTAAAAAAAGATGTGCTTGAATTTGTCTTTTTTGACATAAAAATTAAATATACTATTAAAAATGCATGTTTCATATTACTCGTAAAAAACTTCTAAATACATCTAATTTTTTGATAACTTTAGGTCATTCTTACCAATACTAAAATTTGACGAATGATTGGATTTAATTCTCAAAAATTTCGATTTCTTGCAAGATAGGTCGAAAATTTACAGATTCATGCCCATTTTCCACTTCTAAAACATATTTAGGTGCTTTGGTAACATAAAAAGTGACCACGCTACAATTAATAAATGAAATTTTAGCAAACCGATTATAATTTGAAAATAACCTTTACGAATTTGTTCTACCCAACACCAGATATTAGCACGGATTTTGCTTACACGGCACCCATTCGTCCCATTCCTCCCATGCCCATCATGCCTGCTCCCATGCCTGTCATCACCATCGAGGATATCATCATAGTTCCGCCGCCCATCATGGTACCCGGTGGCGATCATGCTCGGTCCCATTCCGGCGTTTTCAATCGTAGATATCATCATTGAGAACAACTATCGGGTGACTATTAATGTCTGAAGCACAATTTTGTGTTGGTAATTCTGAATCGATACTTGTATGTCAGTTCATAGTTGTCATTTTGACATAGAAGTTGACAACAGTACTTAATGTCATAAATTTCGAACTGACAAGGTGTGCCACCATAAAATTTTAGATATGTTACCAACCTGCTAAAAATATCATTCGATATTTGCCAATAATTTTGTCGCTTGTCATAACTCAGTGTATTAATTAAAAATATTAATTTACATTTCTGTTTAATAAAAGAATTTGTGACCTTATATTATAACAAACATCTGTTGTTTAAGTATTATAGGTACTACTAAAACACCGTTACATACATTAATTCCCACTTAGTTCAATTTTTGTATTATTTACATAATATTCCAATTAATAAGTTAATAAACAAAAATCCAAATCTTCAACTTAAGCGTGGTAAATTTATTAATATTTTCTCCATTTATAATTCACCACAAAAAAATGATAAAAATCCAGTTATTTTGTTTGTTTTACAAATTTATGCTAATCGCATCAAGTTTGATGTCCGCCTAGGTAAAACTTTCTGGTGAAATATTTCACAAACTTACGGGAGACTTATCTGCATAAACAAAAACTTAGCACCAAGGACTTAGTGTCCTATATAAGCTTTACACATCCTTATCCCGACATACACAGTTTCAACAACTAGTCAACAACCTCCTGCAAGACTTTAATAATAATAATCAAGCATCATGAAATATTTGGTAAATTTTATTTATTTTTTTTTTGTTACAGATTTTTTCATATTTTTGCTTATAGATCGTTGCTGTTTTCTTCGTTTTGGCCATCGCTGCCTCCCACGCCCAAATCCTGACGTCTGATTTGAACGGCGGCTTGATTTCCCCATTGGGGGTGGGTGTAGCTCCTTTGGGTGGAGGAGTGGTCGCTTCTCCATGGGCTGCTGGACCTCTTGTTGGTGGCATATTGTAAAACATTATCAACCCATCATTGCCTGGGTTCCAGTTACAACAATTAAAATTATTGTAAAAAAAATAGGAACCAGTTGCATTATGTGTATATAATAAAGAGACTATTTTTCTATATTTTCGTATTTTTATTAAGCCAATATATAAATTTCAAATTAAAACAAAATCTCAAAACACAAAATTAAACTATTCGCTGTTATAAGAACGGATTAGATTTGTTTAAAAAAAGGTGTGCTTGAATTTGTCTTTTTTTGACAAAAAATTAAATACCTATACTATTAAAAAGACATTATTCATACTACTCGTAAAAAATCTCTGAATACACCTTTTTTTTATAAATTTAGGGCATTCTTAACAAAACTGAAATTTGATGAATGATTTGATTTAATTTCCGAAAATTTAAATCTCTTGGAAGATAGGTGAAAAATTCACAGGTTCCTATTTAATGAACCAGTTTCTGTTCATTAATATTTAAAAACATAAAGTTCACTCACTAATCGTCAAAAATTTAAATTTTGTGCACAAAACACTTTCTTTTAGCTTTAATGTAAATATTAATG